GTCTTTGTGCCCCGCTCAGACTGTGCTGATTGCGCCTCTGCCCTATGCCTGGACTGAGCTACAGGCAGTTACTGTATGTTATGATGTTGTGATTAGAATGCCGCAGCCCTACCCAGTTCCCTCGAAGGAACCATACCGCTGGCCGGGTGTGAGGGCTTGAGCAAGCCTTGGGGCCAACCTGCCACCAGGACGATGGGCTAATGCGCCTGCTGGGGCAACTCACCTCGGGTCACCCGACACAAGGCCTGTATGGACATTATTTATAGATTCTTTAGCTGATTGTTTCCTTGCATTGGGTTTTACATCCGGTATTGCTGAAGGCTCCTGAGATTACCCAAACGTATGACCTCATGAGATCCGGGCTCATGACCTCTTTGAATGTAGGGTTACCACTGGTTAACCGCTTGGGGATGTAGCTTACGTTAAGGATGCCTTTAGAAGTAGAAGGCGTGGCTTTGGGCTCCCGCATTTGTCAGATGGGGTAGCTACTTTTGCAAGTCACATGGGGGGGCCGGGCCAAAAAGACTGATATTGAACGACGTGGGCCCTCAGAACAATGACATGTGCAAAACCGGTCTCGAGAAACTTTGGTATGCAGGGCTCAGATTCATTCTCATGCGCTGCCCATCCAGTCGATCCAGTGCCCTGAGCTTTGGCTCACAATGAACTGAACAAGGAAGTGGATGTTTAAAAACAAAGTGATTGTGTAGGAACGACGCGTCAGACTCAATCATAATTGGTGTTTTGGTTGCTGAGGTAGGATTCTTGGGAAGTTTTTCCACTGGCACAACGCTCGATGCAGCCGAAGTTTCCATGCGTGTAGTTTTCTTCATGAGTCAGGTTTGCTGGATTGTGAGGGGCGGTGTTCCTGATAATATACAGGGCCCCCGATACAATGCACCACATGATTTAATCATGATTTGGTCAGGGTAAGTTGAGTGAATTGATTTTATCTGTGGGAGATGGGAATATTTTGATGAAGCAAACTAGATGATGTTCAACCCGCGAAATGCCATGCATCCCACGCTCCCCGAACAACTAAGGACATATCCAGATCGACCGATTGGAGCCAGCCCACTGTAAACGGACAAACCAACTTTCATCCCTGTGACTTGGCTGCGCAAGCATCGTGCAGCTGCTGTGGCTTTGGTCACATAACCGGTGTGGAAGGATTGCGGTTCCATTGTGCCAACATGGTGTTAACAGAGTCTGATGAAGACATGTGTGGATGATGTCCTTGTTGAACGGACATGTTTTGGAAAACAGAAACCGTGTGTAGAGGAATGGGTGGTTTTCCAACATATCAAGGACAAAGGTGGTGGTTTTCCAACATATCAAGGACACGGTTTTCACTCATTGGATGTTTTGTTGGGACGGGTGTTTTGTTCATTTGTCATCCATCATCATTGACGGCGGATGGCGGTCCTTTCGTGTTGTGGAATCAGAACGGTTGATGTTTTGCAGCGGACCTGGATCATTTAGAATATAATCCTCATTACTCCTTCCAAGATCACCTTTGTTAGAGGATTTTTTCCGCCCCCGTTTGGTAACAACCGTTGTTTAAACCAAGGCCATGTAGATCCATGTAGCACCATTTTTTTTTCGCAAACTGCACCTAGATGGTGGAACCAAACAATTAACAAACCCTTCAGTCAACTGGTCCGGGGTACTGCTCACTTGCTGGAAGGACTTTCAACCACTAGCAAACTAATTTTACCCCCTCATACTCAACTGATATGGTGTTCGGCTGCGAAAACCCAAAACCACGATTTCGCGGAGAACCATTGTCATGTTTGCTGTGCCCTTCCACCTGTGAAAATTGTTGACACTCACTGATCATACAGCAGTCATGATTTGGCTTGCCAGATGAAACGAAACCGAACTCTCACCGAGTTGGTCGAGCAGTCCCACTAAACTCTTCTTCGCTGTGAAGGCAGATCACATCTGACTGCGGATCAATTACCCTTCGGGCTGGGGTTAGGGACTATCGGCCCTTTTTGTATCCTGTTTTGATGGAGGCGATTGAGAGAGCTGGGGGTGGATTTTGCTAGTATGTTCTGCTGGAGGAGTAGGAGATTAGCTCATCAGTTGGTCATGGATTGTCGTATGATGTCACGCCATGGCATGTCTCCCCACCTCTTTATGCGTGGCCGAGGACGTTTTCAATGAGCAACGTTTTCATCTTCGCGCCTTGAGAATCCTGGTGGTAAGGCAGTGAGGAGTAGGGCTCGACTGAATTATAAAGTTTTGCATATACACTCCGACTCACTAACATGGAAATGGCATCCATGTTAGTGCGTCAGAGTGTAGTATAGTGTCCATCTCGCTGGTGGACAAGCTCCCAGCGCCCTTGCAACTGGCACGGAGCTCCCAGCGGTTTTTGTTTTTTTTGCCCTTCCAAAGACTAGCATGATATGCCCACCTGACAGTGTTTTGCAATGTTTTCCTTATGCATGCTGATTTTTGGGAGGGTCTGCGTTTATGTTCCGATTAGCTCTAAGTTACTACTGGCTAGCCTCCTTCCAGAGGCTTTCCCGGCAAATGACTGGGTGTAGACTTAGGAGTGAAAAAGCGCCTCGGGTTGATAGCAGGGCGTCAAGGCAACCAAAGCGCATTGGTGGTATTTGGTGGTTGGTGTCAGCGACGACCATGCTACATGTGTTACATGAACATTGGCAGTTTGCCCACAGCATAACTGCACGTAGAGCCGTAGAGCGACAAGAACGTAGAAACACAATGAAACACACACACACACACATATATATATATATAGCAATTACCGTTTCCTGAATACTATTTATAGAATATGGTCCATACCACATTATGTGCACATCTCAGATTATAGTACAAGACTTGGTGCTGCCATGCAGAGAATGGCTCGAGCTTTACTGGATTTGACAGACTTTTGACTCAGGAACTGGTCAAAAGGTCCGGATTCGTTTTATTTCCTGGGCTCAGTTATTCCGCACAAAAAGAGAGCCAAAAGACACAGAACATTCTCAGGCAAAGCTGGCCACTGTCATCCACTGTCGGCTTTTTCCGGCTGCCTTCCAACTATAGTTTCCTAACCCAGGGATCCTTATGGTCTCCAGGTGTTTGTGGGTTATAGAAGGTCATCATGACTCGAGAACGACTGGGCGAGAAAGAAAACTAGGCCACGCAGTCAGTCTCCAACCCTGCAAGTTACTGGTGAACACTCTACCAATCTTAGAGTGATCCGGTCAGTCATTTGCTCAGATCGCCAGGAAGAATGGAGCTAGCATGGCTGGCTTTGCACAGATGAACTCCAATCGGATATATATATACATATGTATATATATATATGGCCAATAAGCGGGGAGCATCCAAACCTATCGGTGGGAGGGAGCATTGGCTCAAAGCTGGGGATCCCTAAGTCCATTTTTGTTGGAGCCACACCCAATTAATTGAGGTTCCAGCTTAGTAGTCTTTACGATCTTTCGCTTTTGCTCACAGCGCAATCGATGGCGCTGACCTCGGGGGAGCTCGGTGCAGAGCTGCAATGGCTGCTGGAGTTTGCAGACACTGACCTGGTCATTGAGGCCATCCTTCATCATCTCGTGGCTTGGAGCTCAACGTGCGGCACGTTCCATCAAGTGTTCAGGAGTGCGGCACGTTCCATCAACAACGGACGCTGTGTCCATCAACGGGAGGATAGCTTTCGTGGTGGTCCTGACGTGTGCAGTTGCCCCCCCCAATCCGGAACCCTCCTGACAAAGTGCAGCGAGGTAAGCACATGGCTGCCTTTGAAGTGAGCGTAAAAAGCTTTCCGGTGGGGCGCTATGGAGCCCAGCTTTAGGATGCTATAGAGAGAAATCATGTTCCTTTTTCAGTTGGTTCAAGAGCTACTGACTATAGCACAGGTTTCGGACATGGAGACTTCTAAGAATGGTTGGTTCCAGATATCTTCCAAGATGTTGGCCAAATCAACTCGACGTTCACCATCTGAGAAGCCAAAGAAAGCACCGTCGGCATTCTGAATCAATCTTGCTGACCTGCCGAAGCACTGCGAAGATGAAGACAGACAGTGACCGGCCCGGTTTGCCCGGTGGAACCACCATGAACGTACAGGGTTGGATTGGAACCCTCCTCCAATCAGGTCAGAAAGTACATGGACCCCTGGTGTGTTCAATCCTCCAATGCTAAGGGAGCACGATCTGTATGACCACTTAGGGTGTGCTGGCATGGGAGTATGACTGAGAATGACCACTTTCGACTGATTCACAAAACACCTTTCCTTTGGCACCTCGAAAGCCCCAAGGCAGGCCAAGAAATGGGTCACGACGTACTTCTCCTTCGCGGTGCTAAGTCGCCCTCGGTGTCTGCGGGCCAACGGCGGCTACTTTTCCTGGGTGAAGACGTGGGAAGCTTGGAACGTGGAAGTGAAGAGTCTGGCGCGTGTAGGGCCCCAGTCGTACCTCCGAAGGTATGACTTGAGCCTCCTGGCACCCTCCCCAAACACCTTCTTAGAAGGTACTTGTAGCCTCTAGGGATTGGGCAAGACCTGGAAAGGTTGTGCCCAGTTCAGAAAGCTGTTCGCAGGTCCGCAGCTGGGCGAGTCAGGTGAAAGCTGGGCGTGTCAGCTTGACGAAGCCTCATTGAACCCTTGGATTTTTTAATGACCATGTTTCACATGATTTATCGACCTTTTCCAGGAAGGACGCACAAGCCCGGGGTGGCCAAGCGGATCCTTCGCCAGCGATGAAACAACCGCTCATGATAGTATCATGGGTGTGGTAAAATCCGCTCGACACCTGGTGGTGTTGGAAGGTGAAGTGGATTTCCTTCCACCTATTAAAGAAACACCGGGGCCTTTCTTTCCTCTCCCCTTTTATTAAAGTGAAACTCAGGTGGAGTGTTCTTTTTAAATAGGTACTCGGGATTAGGTGCTGACTCTGAATCTGTCGCCCGGTGACCCTGCAGTTTCGGAAGAGAGCCATCGCAAGAAAGACACTGCTCAGGACACTGGGTCTATTGCGAGAAAGATGACGGTGAGTGGAATTCCTATAAGCTGATGCATCAAAAGCCTGGCACTCATCAGTTTCGTGGCTCATCAGAACCCTGCCACCACCCATGGGACATTTGCCTGACCCCCCCTGCCACCACCCCGGTCGGCGGCCGTTTTGAAGGCAGTCCGTCATGGCAGTCCCGTCGACGGGTCCGGGTGAGAGATGGTGGGATCCGGTCGTGGCGTGAACCACCGGTCGAAATGGAACGACTTGGTGACCGGATACAGCAGTGCTGGGTGACTGGATACACCCAGCTTGGGACCGGTCGTGCTAACTTGGTGACTGGATACAGCTTGGGTGTGCGTGAGAAGAGATGAGGGTTTTTCTGGCGTTCCAGAGATGCAAAGCTGGAGCCAAACACGATGTATGCGTCTTTCTTTTTGGGGGGGCCGGAGAGGGACATCTATGGAAAGAACATGGCGGCCATGCCTTCTTCCTGTTGCGGGTGGGCTCGCCGGTCCTTGAGGTTTTGCCAGTCCTTTGCGCAGATCTACATGTTGGCCAACATCATCCCCTCCAAGGACGTCCCCCAAACACTTCCAACGGGATGATTTCCTGGGAGCCGTTTCGGTTGGGTGCCGGGGGCCAATCTACTCAGGGGTGATTCACCTATCCAATTGGGTGCCCTTATTCCATCGTGCTGGTTCAACGGAGTGAAATCCTCATGGTCACGTGGAGGCTCACACACCACTTACTTGGGCATTGGGCGGAACTCAGGGTCATCCGAACTCATGGGCTGGAGAATGCCATTTACCTGCATCGGATGTTCCATGTGGAGAATCCCGGTTTGAGACGAGTTTTCAAGGTGCACCGGGTTCGGCATGTTAGGGGTGAGGTTAGAATCTAGTGACTCCCTGTGGGATGAGGAGGCCCTGGAAGATGGACATGGAACATCATGGAGCCAGATTTAAAAACACACTGAGGACTGATGAAGGCAGCATGATGAAGCTAGCCTTCCAGTCTGGGTCGACCTGTCGGTGTATACATTTATTGGATTGAGTTGATGGATATGGGTGTGTATTAAAAATAGGGAGACCTCCCAAAGAACCCCCTGGAAGAATGGAAAATAGAGCAGTCTACCCATTGGTGGGAGACCTCCCTATCAAAACACAACTCAAAACACACGCCCATATAAGGTCTGTTAAAACCATGGATTGGTCGAGTCCTTGGGATGTTGAGGGGGGATCAGCCCTCTTTACAGCAGGACGGCAGGACCTGGTGTTGAGTGTAAACCAATTGGTTATATATCAGGACCCGCAGTTGGGGTGGTTGGACACCCCGAATCACGGCCGTTTGGGGCTTTGAATAGACACCCCACGGTGGTCCAGGTACTGGTGAACAGCTGACTTTAGGACTTCGTACGTCATGTATCAGCTGAAACGGGGCGAGCTCATACGCTGTCGGCGTCTAAAACACTCGCGACTCGTGCGAGGAGTTCGGGGGCACCACGGCCTTTGAGCTGCTGAAGAGCCTCAAGGAGAAGTTGTCATTACGAGAAAGGGACAGCTTGTTGCACTTCTGTGCTGACATGTTCGCAGTGAAAAGTCGTTGCTCTATGTTGTTCTACCATGTTCTACCTTGAATATTAAGCAATCCCAATATTGTTAATATACAGCAGTACACTGCAAACTGCAGAAAGCCGTAGAAGTTATAGTATATTGTGCTGGCGTGTGGTTCTATTCTATACGGACCGACTTCTTGTTGGCTATATTTGTACCTGCACGTGCAGCCTGTGGGACGGCCCCTGAGTATACAGTATAGAGATAGCATGAGATAGCAATTCATTACTAGTGAAAGAGCATGCGAAGGGAATCCTGCAAAATCCTTTCAGCCACTTGGTTCTTCGTGTGTGGTCACTTGTTTCAACAGCTTAGACGAAAACCTGTCGACCCGCAAAAGTCAGATCATGATCCGGAACTGCATCATGCCTCTTAGGGGAACAAAATATGGTAATTGTATTTTTAGCTATTAAACTTGCGAACACCTAAGTAGGTAGAGCCTGAAGGCCATGAGCCTACCTATAGCTAGGTTAGGCAATCTCAATATTGAACGTTGACATCCCTTTGATGCTAAGGAACCTGCTTTGGACACGCACGTTTTCTCCGCTTCGCACCGGCTTCGCCAAGGAGGGTCCCGAGAATTACGGGTCCAATGTGGCGGTGGTCGCGAGGCGACGACCATGTCGGGCCAAGCAAGAGAAAAGACGTGCAGCATGTCCAGATGCCAGAAGTGTTGCATATGTGAATGTGGTGTCTTTGTATAATGTGATATATATATATATAAACAATATATATATATATATAAGACTGTTTGTTCTTTTCGATTCAGCCCATGTAAAATTCAATGTGGACTCCTTAAGTGCCGCTGGAGTACTGAAGGCCCTTCTGAGTCAATATCTTGGCTGTTCCAGGTAATGGTCATCTGTTCTACGCGAGCTGGGGAAATCGAAGGAGCTGGAAAAGTGGTTGCTCAAGGAGCTCCGCCACTTGGGATCATTGCTCCACTTGTTACTGTAGATGGTGGAGCCTTGATTGGGCATTTTTGGCTTGTTAAAACTAATTTTGGTGCTGTTTTTGGGCGTCATTCTTCCAAGAGAATTGATGCCTCACGTGGTGTGACCAGATTGTTGGATATAGGTGACATGCGAATCAAGTGGACTGGCCCGCGGAAGTGCGACATGCCTTGGTGGTCCCCAGTGCTTTCGTGCTTTCGTAGGTTGATATCAAATAGGTTCTTGCCCAGGTTCCATCAACGAATCCTTGCGTGAGCACAACAAGGGCTGCCGGCGCAAGACGCAAGAATACAATTTGATTGCTGAGCAGGACTGAAGTGAACCTGTGCAGATTGATATCTTTAATCTTGCAATATGTATGTATGCACAAGCTGAGAGAGTTGTTAGAGTTGTTTGGCCCAGTGGAGAGGCGTCCTTCATTCCAAAGGACGAAGACATCACTTTGGACCTGATCCTCAATACCAAGCTGGTGCTTGGCCTCATGTTTGGAAGGGCGTAGCAGAAAGAGCCAAAGCACGCTCAAACACATGGCTAGAGACCTGTCAGAGCTCCAAGAATGCATGGTCCACCCTATGGAGTGCTAGGAGCTGCTAGGACCTGGGAAGATGTTGTGCTTTTGCACCCGGACAATTGGGAATTCATGGTCGTCACAATTGATATGATTTAAAATGAATCACCAACCAGTGATGATGGTTTAGAGGAGTTTCAGAGGATGATTGCATTAAGGCGACTTTGTTTCTGGTGCTGGACAGCACGGGCTCCTCGAAACTGAAGCAATTCCTCCCGCTCATGGAGTCATTTGTTTAGATCCAGCTTACACTGACACTGCCTTATGCCCCAGTGTGCATTCTTGAAACATGTCCGCGTCCGCAATGGTGTTTCTGATGGCAGCAGCGAACGTCCCCCACCGCTTTGACCTCCTTGGCTTCCCCTTTTGAGACCTTCGTGGCACGTCACCAAGGCCTTCGTGGCACGCCACGCCACAGAGATCGCTGAGTCTGTGAGATGAAAAGACACGCGAGATCGCCGGCTGGGCCTGTTGATAAGAGGGTGGGTGACACTAAGCCACCTTGCGAACCAGTTCTTTCCACCAACATACAGCGTGAACACATGATTAAGGACCCAAGGACTCCCTATTCTGAATTGTTTGTCCATTTTGTAGGCCACCAAAGGGTAACAGTTTGATTTGGGACGAGGCGACGTAAGGCCCCACATCAGTCCCGCTGCCTCACCTTGCTGTCTCAATCCAACCAGCCAAGCCACAACTTTGCAGCTCGAAGATGCTGTATATTGCAAGTACTGCAATGGACATAATGGACACAGCTCCGACGATGCCCCCCACGCCTTCAAACACCCACAAAATGAAGAAGCTAAGAGTAATAACCCAGCGGCAAGCATTCACACAATCAACACAATCCCAAAACAAATCCGGGCCCTGTCAACCTTCAATCCAAAAGTGGGTACCACCAACCTGCCCAATCCATAAGGCCAAACTTCTTTGCCAAAGATTTGTTGGCAATACATGTTATCATGTTACCTTATTTCCCGTTCCTTCTCTCCTTTATGTTCACATGAGTTCCGTGGTTTGCGGATCTTCACTTTTTTTTGTGCATGAAGAGATCACGAAAGCTAGCATCAGCTAGCTGGAGTTGTCCTTGCTTTAGCAAGTGAGGGGCTGGAATCCTCGAGATCGCCGCATCACGTGAAAACTTCATATGTAGAGGGCCCCCCCCCGCGGGTTCAACTCCCCCCTGGGACGCCTCTGGGACGGACACCTCTCGGACACCTCTTATGATCTTATGGCATCCGCTTTGGTTCAACTCCTCCGTGGAGGTTTTGGGATACGATGCAACAGATTCAACAGATTCACAAGCTAAGGTTGGCTGTGTCATTGCTGTTCGTGTGTCTTACATGTTCACAACGTTTTACCATCCCTCCAACAGCCCCATGCCTATGAAACAAGATTTGCCTCACTCCGCTTGATGTCCCACCAGTCCTTGTCACTGGACGGCGCTGTATGCTTCGCCTCCACTGACACGGATGCATCCCTGCTAGCTTTCGTCACCTACCCTCGGCCTCAAGTTGTGTTTTTGGGATCACTCCGTTTCATGCCCCTTGTAGTGCCCCTTGTAGACATTGACCTCCAGACATACCTGCAAAGAACATCGAACGAACACCCATTGCTTGGTGGATTGGGCTTTGAGTATGGAGTCGGACAACCATGTCGTATGATCCCACATGATCCATTCCGACCATCCACTGGTCTGACCGTTCACGGTCGCAAAAACGGTCGTCGATGCGGAGGCCGGAGATGCAGAAGATGCTCAACGACCTAGCACCGAACACCAGTGACTTGGTCTCGGTGACAGGGTTGGTGCCCTCTGTCCTTGAATGGGGTTCGGAAAAGGCCTGGCTGGGCTGAGAAACATATCCTTAGAAGGTGATGAAATCCCCCCCCCCGGCACCCACCCGAATCACCTCCTCACTTGGAAAGCTGGGGCGGGGAATAGAAGTTTGGTCCCTCCATCCGAGGCTACAAGGTCCTGGAGAAGGTGCTGCGAGAGATTGACGGTGCGCAGGGAGGGAGGGGGGGCGACATTGGGTCGATGGACGTGGAGGGCGGCGGGCCTGCGACAGAATAGGAAAGGACAGGCTGAGGACAGGTAGTGGCATGGAATTGGAGAAGACACGTTGGGTCCGAAAACCATCACACGGGGTTGGTCACTTCCAAACAAATGTGGGAGCACAACATTGTTGAGTGAAGAAGTTTGTCAACGACCCAGAAACATTGAAGCCACGTAGGAAGTAGGTCGTCAACAAAGGATGCTGGCAGCTACGAAGGGGCGTTAAAACCACATTGTTTTTCCCTCAAGGTTACTTGGAGTCTACCGCCATCAAGTTAGCAATGAAACCATGTGGTACGCCTTGGGGGGATGTGTGGCAACTGGAGAGGCGGAAGCACTCAGCCAAGGACTGTGGCAAGTCTCAGTACGTATAATTTATACATGTAATAGATTCTAGATCAGTTTGGTTTACGGAAATAACCCCCATCAATGATGGCGTAACTTGATGACAGTTCCGTGCACCCTTTCCCCATTGCCAGTGCTTTTTCCCGTGAACTTCCGCCCTCAGAATCTGGTGGAAACCCTGGTACCAGCAGTCACAAAGAGGTGCTTAATGGAGGTTAGGGGTGCCCATTATCCACTCACTTAGGGACTAAATACCACCCCTTTGTGACTCCTGGTAGGAACATTTAGACACTGGGTAACTAGGACTGGTACAAATCACACAACAAATCACGTAGTGTAATTCATTGGTGTCCAAAGAGTGGGATCGCATAGAGGCAAGAAGCGACTAACAGACTGGGTACGCACGTCACTTCGTTGTAAAATGGTGCTCTTTTGCCAGGGTGCTTGGTTCTTTCCAGTTGCTTCAGGTGATTCCAGTGGGGACTTGATCCATATCTGATCCCCAAGCAGGTTCTTGCTCATCTCCAGTCTCCCCTTCCGACCCCCTCAGTCCTCCCCAGTCTTTCGTTCCGACCGGCCGTGCGCGGTACCGGCACCGCGCACCGCGCACCGCGCACGGCGCACGCACGTTCAAGGTGACGATGGGGACGGGAAGTACACCACGCCCGAGTTCGTGACCTGGTGGGGCGCCCCAAAATCATCCGTGTGGACCTGGTGAGTTTTGTTCTTTTAAGATGTGTTTTTGTCTCGTGTTTTTGCCGAGGGTTGAGAAGATGTCATTTGATGTGCTTTCTATAGATTATGGAAATGATGAAACATCGCAGGACTATTAGGTCGCGTCTTTCAGCAATTATTTGTTTGCACATCAAGTGCAAAAACACCAGGTCAAGTCCATCAATCCAGCGATATCCAGCATAATTGACATATTTTATTAGTCCCAGACACTCCATGTTTGGCATATATGCCTATATAATACACATGCCTAGATTGACTCCTCGAACCACCCCAATGGGGCGGTCGAAACCAGTGGCGGTCATACCAGGTACGGCCGCGGCCCTCCTCGTCGGACGTGGAGTGTCCGAGTGTCATGGGGTCCGGACCTGGAGCGCATTGGCCGTCCGAGGCTCGTGGGTAAGGGCCGGAATGTGCACACCCAGACGCACCTCTTGCGTTCCATCGTGGCGGCCACCGGCGACTCCTTAGGCGCTCGAGTCAGCGAGAGACCTGACAACAGAATCGGGAGGGCGGGGGAGGGAGTGGAGATTCGAAATGGCTTGGGGGTGGGGGTTCTGTGAATGTCAATAGGAATGTCGAGCAGCGCATCACCAGATGTTGAACGGGTTCGTGGCAAGGACCTCTCAGGATCGTTTCGAGTGTTTCTTTTTGGTTAAATCCACTGGACCACTAGTTCATCACTGTCGACACACTTGCTCGCTGACGCTCACATCGAGGGCTAGGAGGGCCTTTGCTCGCCTTAGCCAAAGGCTAATCTCCTGGAGAGGGCGATGGAGGGAGAGAGAGAGAGAGAGAGAGAGAGACTAGTTCATCACTGAGTTCTTTGAGCTCCGGGCACACATTTGATTCATTAGAAACACTTTATATATCCTCCCAAGTTTTGGACATCAACATGCAATGCGGGAGCAGATCGCGATGGATAAGCATCATTGGATCATTCCAGACAATCTTATAATAAATGGAAACTGGTCCATGTCCGTACTCCAGGATGACTCTCTCTCTCTCTCTCCCTATCTTTTTGTTTTTGGCAATCTGCTATATATATATATATATACATACAAAGCCATAGAGATATATAAAGCCATAGACCATTTATATCTTGGACTCTTGGACTATTATATAGACTACCCAGCCGCCATGTTTGTTTTGGACCGCTCCACCTCCAAATCCTCCACACCTCCGCTGGTTTGGAACGCATCTACCTCCGCGGCGGTACGCGTCGTGGTATCCCCTCAGGATCTTCGACCGCTTCGATGTGGATGGGAGCGGAGTACTGGAACGACATGAGCTCATGAAGGTGGGAATCCCAACAGAAACGACCACGATGGAGGCGGAACGGGCCACATGTGCCATGTTTGGGTCCAGTCATACCGTACCTGAGGAGGTACGAACGGAGCCCGGATATGCTTTTGTTGGGTGCTTTGGATGGGTCAATGTATAATGTGCATTAATGTGCTATGGTGCTTTGGAAGAGGTGGGACTGCCATCTGTGCCGTATGTGCCTATGGGGTGCTTTGTTTGGATGGGTCAATGTATCAAGCACGACCCCAAGTACCGCATGACCGGGGGTTTTGGGGACGACAGCATGGACATGAATCACCGATTTATCGGTGATGGTGGGAATGATGGATGGGGTATGGTCACTCTAAGAATTAAGGACGCTCAAAGGTGAAGGTGGAATGAGGGTCCCAAACCCCTGCGTTCTACAGGGTCAAAACCGGCAAGGCATCATAACAATTTCATCCGTTTCATGGACTGGACCATTGTCCCATTAAACCACCACACCACTTGGCCGGTGCTTTAGCTGTGGTGTGATCGCAGCGGAGAGGCCGTGAGATGGGTCCTGGAGAGGTCCTTTTTCTCATACACAGTCAGTGGATAGCCTGCAAAACCCTGTTTTGGGGGAGTGATTTCCTCACTTAAACAGGAACATGGTAGAAAAAGGTCTAGCCTAATTTATGGTCCAGGGAGTCTGTTCTTGGGAGTTCGGGTTCATGTGAGTTCATCCATGTAGCGGGTGGCATCATTTCCATCTCAAACCCCAAGTCTTTTCGTGCCAGCCCAGCCGTTTTTTTAAACAATCCAACCCTAAGGATCCGCACCCTCAAAAACAAGGGGTTTTGAGGGTTTTTGAGGGTACGAACCCTTGTAATAGAGGGTTCGACCCCTTCCAAGGAGGGTCCGTTCGGATCCTTAGGGAAGAAGGATTCGCTTCCTTCGGGTGGAGATCCCAGGTGTTGCGAGTCCTGGACTCCGAGATCACCACATCAGAGATCCAGTCGGGGTGTTCTCAGAACCGGGGAGAACATCGAACGCCGGGGAGAACGCTTTAAGATCCGAATGGATCCATTGAACCCTGATTGGAGAGGGTGAGGAGACACGTGTTTGTTGATGTATAGGCTTGGCAGGGTTCTTCGCATACCCTGTGTGAAGAGATGTGGATCCGGGAGTAGTGCCCCTGCAAGTCATTTGGGCGTGTCTTTCTTCGCCTCTTCAGGTGATCCATGGCACAGGTGCTGTTGAAAGATGTTGAAAGGTCCCGAAGCCAGAATCACAGAGACGGAGTAGACTTTGATCGGCCACGCTGCCTGGCCCCAGAAAACACCCTCTTTTTCAACACTCTTTTTCTCGCAGGCTCCGGGTCGGATGCGTTCGGACAACGGAGCGCGGCCATGGTGAACTCGTGGTTAGTCGTCTAGTCCCGCACAAGCGGGCCTCAACAATAAGCCAGAAGCAACATCTCACATGACCTAGGTACACATCTGAATCATGATGCACTCCCATAATCGCGTCCTTTTAAACTTGTTAATATATACCCCATGATATTTGGCTTACAGGATGGGAGGGGTTGACGTCTTTTTGAAAACGGTCCTTCTCAAATAAAGGGTGGGAAACACACCCCCAATGGTTGACTAGAAACCGAGAAACACAGGACATTAGGCATGGATCAGATGTCATTTTCTAAGGATCACCTTGCTTTCTTGAATTTGCTGTTCCCTTGATGTTCTAGACAGTGTTCTTCATTTTCTAGTAAACATGATGAATCATGATGAGTCAAGAATGAATTTAGATAGAACATTACCGACAAATATTAAACATATCTAAAATTTAATCTTAAAGATATAGAAATAGATTTAGGACCTGCTTCTTTCTAGAAAATGGAAAGGTACAGACAGCAATGTGGATGTGCGAAACCCGGGTAGAAAAGGCGTGCAAAGAGCGTTTTCTAGTGAAAAGAACTTTGTTCACTACAGAATGCTTCAGCTGATTGATGAGGCTGGAGGACTCATTTTTGTTGAGAGTGCATTCATCCTTCCCCGGGGATTCCAGAAATCTCTTGGGGGATATTATACAGTACTTCCTCACTCAGGAAATGGCAACCCGATTCTTTTTTGTGCAAACCGTTGGGCCGACCAATCCACCCAGAATGAACCAACCATGCAAACCGCTGTCCGCTGTGGGGTGAGTCTTGAGGCGAATTCTACAAGAGCTGGACAAGAGCAAGGACGGAAAGGCGGCCGAGCTGAAGAATGGGCTAGAATGGGCCTCCAGGGACCTGTGTTGGCCGAGCATGCACATGAGTGGCATGGATGTATGGACAAGCGTGGCGAGCCACCGCTTGGTTGAATTCACCGATGTTTCTAGAAGTGTTCTTTGGATTGGTTGTGTTTGGTGCTTTTCATTGTGTGTTTATCATCCTGTTGCCAGCGGTGAGGCAACTTGATCATAGCTTTTGGAATATGTGCAGATGGAATCCATCAACATCCATCAACTACCAACCAACAAACACGGAAATAAAGGACTCAGAAAAAACAAAACACGGAAAAAACAACGTGCAGATGTTCTATTTTTCATTATTTTTCCTCCTTGGGTGCCACTATACAATTAAGTGCCTATAAAGTGACCGGTGAACAGGGACTCAACCGGTCGCATGCCACATGGACTTGGGAGGCACTTTAATACAAAAAGGTGTGTCCGGGTCGGAATCCAACCACGAATACTATCCAAGGGCTGGGCATGTTGCCGGACCTTGGCACAGGCACGTGTCGAACATGCAGATGCATGCACGGCCACGCCTCCCATCCCCGGGGGATGTGGAAGTTCTCATGTTACAGGGAAAGTCTTTTCTGGAGACAGACAGAAAACGGGCGTAGACAGATAGAACCCCTTCCAGGGCGTCCTTCTTGGCCCGGTCAGGTCTCCTATAAAGAGTTTTTGTCCTGGCTAAAGGAAGGAGAAGTTGTTGCACGAGACTCGGCAGCTGCGCAGAGATTGGTGTCCGGAATGTCCATTGACAAATGGGATGAACAATGCGATGCTTTGTTCATCGACTTGGAATGTCCATGGTTCATCCTTTGTTCCATTGAAAATGCTTCATTGTATAATGAACAAGGATGAAGTACCTTTCTTCTGCGTCTGCTGAAGGAAACGGCGACGAGCGGAAACGTCTTTTTTTTTTGCGACGATCTCTGGACGTCGAAGCGCTCTGCGGCGCTAGTGGCACCACCATATCGCGGTGCCAGCACCTAGCTGTAGTGGCTCTAGGGCTGAGTTGCAAGTGAGCTACACAGATCCTCAAGGAGTTCATCCATTTTCCCCCCGTCGGCCACATCCATTCCACCGGTGACCCGGGAGCGAGCGAAGGCGGCCGAGTCCTTTCGCCCAGGAAAGTTGGCCAGTAAGTTGAAAGCTGTCACCGGCCCCATGAGAGAGAAGCGGGTGAAGGAGGCCTTCGACATGCGACTCGGCAGTTTTGTGTCGAAAGGCAGATGGGGTGGCATATAGGCTAGGTGATTGATTGGCATTTGAATTTGTATGACTTAGCTATTTGCTCGGTGGTTGTTCATGTCCATGAATATAAGATGCTTTCTTACTGGCTGGCAACAGCTAGTGAAGCGCTCCTATGTAACCCTAGTGCAAGATTAAATTTGATCGAGATCGTCGAGATCCGATGCTTTTCCGGTGGCCCCAAACAGCATCGCAGGTGTACCATGGTGTATTCTTGTGTCCAAGTCCGGTGTTGTCCTCATTCCCGACTTCAGCTTGTCGACAAGATTCGGGCGGAATGCGGAGTGCGGGGGGTTGCTTAGAGGGGACATTTTGCCCTCATTGCTTAAGGCTTAATCTATATCTATCCGTTTGGGCACGACGAAGTTAAGATCAAGTCACGACTCATGAGCCCAAAGCTGACCTACCTACCTCTAGGTACGACTTGAGCGGCGATGGGTTCCTTGACATGGAGGAGATGCGGAATGCCATGGGGAAGATGTTCCTCTTCAATCAGGCATGTGGGGAGGATGTTCCTTCTTCAAACTCTGAAGGACGCCAGTTATCCAGAAAGGAGATGTGCAGAATGTGGAAGGATCACGTTATATAAGTTGCTTCCCGAAAACAGTTGTTGAAAGTAAAGATTGTGTCTTTTCTCTTTAGCGTTTTATAAGTCGTTTTACATTATTTACGTATTGCTGATCTGAACAAATCACCAACTTACCTAGAGCCTAGAGTTCTTTTGCTGAACAGCGCCACCATACATCCCAAGCAGACAGCGCCTAGGAACCCAACAAGTCTGAGTCTATTGTATAATCTATCCCTCCAAGTCAATGACCTCGTTAAACTTGTTCGAATTGGAGACAATGACCACTATTTACTTTATTAGAACCCAGTTTTACTTGGTCCCACTAAAGTTCCGTTAAAGCCAAAAATAGTGTTCATGATCTCTTCAGGTGGTCTGGAAGGTAATCAAAGGCGATATTCCAGGTGTTCTTGGTGGTTTTACGGCTAATTATTCGACATTAAGAGCAAAGAGGTCTGAATTGTTGGCCAACTATTTAGCGTCACAGGAGCGTAACAGTTCCGTAACAACCCCTTCCAGGAGACTTCTAAAACTGCAAATGATCTTCCAAAACCGTAACAGGAGCGGTTTCTGGAGCGTAACAGGTCCGTAACGTCCCCTGAATGTTTGCAATATGTAAGGAAATCGTGACCAGTATTTTTAATTTTGCAATGTTTGACGTTTGGGTCTCAGTTGTTTTGTTTGCATGAATTAAAAACATTGGTGTATAGCCTGCAGGTTCTATGTGCCGGAAAAGTGCGGTGATGTTGAACCCGCTTGGATAAAAGGGCTTGGGTTCCGACAAACAAAAGGTACTCGTAAAACTTGTTCTTTTCGAAAAAGTACTCATTTAACTTGCACTTCGGACTTGCAGGGATATATATCGGCTTTCAATTTCGAAGGGCGGGTGTCATATTGATAGCAAAAGCACTAACATGTCCTGAGTGGCACCTGTGCTTTTGCCCTGGGTGGCTGCAGGAAGAGGTGCACAAGATTTGCAATGACTTGGACACCAGCAACGTCCTTCAACCCAGAACGTTCGTGGAATGGATGTGGGGTGTGCATGAATGTCTATCATAGAGACCTCCCAGTTGGACCTCCTGGTCTACCCCGCCAGGGTCCGGCCCATACACAGCCGCATGGGGAGACCACTGGCTCGGCCGCTCCGAACGATCCGCACGTCGGTTCCCATGGGCTCCTGGCCGTCCGATGGGATGGGACCGAAGCTGCACCGACAGCTGGTCGGCTGCACCACCAAAGGTGCGCTTCCGCACCCGCCGACTTGGGTCCGACCAGAAAACCGGAGTTGTGGCCCGGTCGGTCTCCTGGTGCCCCGATGTTTTGACTTGGAGCACTTGCAGTCATAGCTCTGGGATTTGTGTGAAATCCTCAAAGCCAAGTTTGGTGGTTCGGGATGACCGGGCTATTTAAGACATGGTGGGCCACAACTTCTGGGCATAAGTAAATCGGTTGGACCGGTTTGATGGCGTTCCCCTATACTATTTGTATAGGTGCCCAACTGGCATGCCAGCCTTTGAGAGGCAACGATTGGTCCTGATGTGAGGAACCTCCCGAACATCCAGAGTTGCGGATGAATCCTTTGGCTCTGTAGCACGAGGCTCCCAGGGTGGTTTAATGGATTTTGATTTTGCCAGATGGTTTGGCTGCTGGGGTCTCCTTCTGCACGCTGCACACCCTATAAATCTCAAGGTTCAGGAGCGGGCTGGACCATGAAACTACCAGCTCTAGTCCAGAGTCCATTGCCGCCATAGCTAGATTTACACCGGTTCCAAGTTGGATTTGCGAGGTCCTGGACGCCACCGTCCTTGCAACATCACCTGCCCGAATCCTTTTCGAATCAAGTCAGTTGTAGCTGAGACGTTTATGCACACACACATGTCGTACATATTACTGTACAGCATATTACAAATTATGCGTGTATACCTATTTTGGATCACCAATCCCCAAAATATGTTTTTTTCAAAACAGAGGTCAAATGGCTCCAGGTATATATATATATAGATTTAGAGAAAGAGAGAGAGAGAGAGAGGAAGAGAGTGTGTGTGTGTGTGAGAGAGAAAAAGAGAGAGAGAGAGAGAGAGGGAGAACACAAGATTCCTTTTCGGCAGCTTTAGGCTAGCATATCATGCGCTATAGGTTTATACCAAGCGGGTCCTTTTTTTCCCTATACCGCCGTCAGATCGTTTTCTGAACATGATCATGGCGCGTAACTGTAGAGGCGAGGGTGCCTTTTGAAGGGCCGAATGCAACCAATTCTGAACAGAACTCTTGAAAGTGGATTTTGGAGCTGGACGTGTTCAACGCCCCAGCCCCTTTGAGATCCGTAGCCCAGTCAGTGGTGCAGTGTTTAGTGACATGCTGCTACTGAGGATGGGGTCATCTCCTACAAGGACTGATCTATGATGACGAGACCTGACAGGACCACCATGATCGCAAAGGACAAGGCTGAACCAAGGCATTGATAGACCATCTCTCGTGGTGGATGGTAACATGAAACGCCTTTTATTGATCGTATCTAGGATCATCCAAGATCCTTCTTGGCCAAAAGTATCCCAAAGCCAACAACTCATCTCTGCCATTGTCACCTGTCATGTCCTGCTTTTCCGTCTTTTCGCCTCGCCCCAAAAAAGCAAAAAAAACCTTCCCAACCGTCCTTCTCACTTGCCTCTCACTTGCCGTCCCTCCGCCGGTGATCCCGCGAGGAGTTCTCCAATTGGATGAGACGAGGGACCGGGTCCAAGGAAGTGCTCAAAGGCTGGCGACCAGCGACGACGGTTGTACCGTGGACGGTCGTGTTTTTTCGCACGAGTTCGGCTTTGCACCTGAGAAAAGCCGTTTGCCGTTTGCCGGTGCATAAGGAAAAGGGGGAGGAGATTTTGGGGGTTCCGAGGTGCTCTTGCCCTGCTTAGGGGAAACAGTGTGTGCACCCATTGAAACGCCTATCTCGAGGGCTTGCCATTGATGGTCTCAGCATCCACATGGGCATTGCCGTGTATGTTTCACCTGGCAATCCCCTACAATAACCCAGCAGGTGTTTTTCGGCCTGTCACGCGTGCTGGGTCAAAAAGTACAGGGAGCGACGGTTGATCTATGGAGACGTAACCCCGAGGGCCTGAGGGGCAGGTTCAAGAATAGTACTGCGATGCATGTTGTCCACTGCAATGCATTTTTTTTTCTGTCTAGGGTGCCCCCGAAAGAAACCGAAGCTACAAAAAGGAATAGATCATTTTGCTGTTCAGAAGGATGGGGAGCCGTTCCTTATGACACACTTAGATAGAGGGCTCTCAAGAGCATACTGTCAGTTAATGAGTCAATTGGACCTTTAATGCAATTAGACCTTGGCTGAATCAACGGCCAGGCGATGAATCGGAAGAACCAAGATGTTGAACACACTCATTAGGCACTTTACGTGAAAATTGGAGTTACAGCTTGAGCAACAGTTCACAAGTAGATCAAACAATTGCAGGTGCACAGGGATTCCCCCTCTCATCCACAGCTTCATTGTGTGTAGTGGGATGAGAGTGCCTCACGTCTTGACATCTCCTGCCGTTCTTTAAATGTCTCTAATTCTGTCCGTGCAGTGGAATAGGAAGACGTAGGAGGAAGGTAGGAAACGTGATGCGTTCCCTTAGATGACTCAGGGAGTGGCACATACACCCTCCTCCCGTTCGTGCAGGGAAGACAATCCTGGCACCAGCCTTGAGCTCAGCATGGCTCAGCAGGTCTTACTGTATGTTCTTGACTCACAAGTGAGCTGAACCTGCCCTGAATCTAAAAGGCCAACCACCGGTGGAGCCAGAAATCTTTAGAACAACCCGTGGTCCCGTGGTCTTTGGAAGTTAGCAGAAGAACAGGACAAACAGACATCGCACCAAAAACGTAATTGTGATTTGTTGGAAGTCCAACATGCAGTTGTATCTTAAACATGAATGCGGTAGATGGATCATGATGGATCGTTTTTTGTCCGCTGTGTTTTGAAAAGGCCGACTGGTCAGAAATCACCTTTAAAGCCTGGGCAGTGAACTTAGGGTCAGGGTCACATATATTATGAATGAGAAATGATGATACATGATATATGGGCAATACACAAAACCAAAGGAAGATGCGCTTGCGCAATTTCAACTGCAGGAGCGAACCGATTCAACCGATCTCCTGTGCATAAAGTCCAATTGTGTTCTTACATAAATTCTATGGGATCCCTTGGGCAAAAAGGTCACAATCTTTTTTGATTTGCCACAGGTTTCTTCTTGCAGTCGATGATCCCATGCACAAATATGCATAAACTAAAAGTTCAGGGATGGTAACTTGGGGCGGACAACTGCCCAGTGATCCCCCCCCCAGACACGGGACCTTGAAGATGGACCGCAAGAAAAGCCTCGGTCTGCACCGTGTTCGCTGCATTTTCAGCGCGTTTTCTAGGGTGCCCTGTTTTTGTTAAACACAGGTGCCCACTACTTAAAACGTCACGAGTGCATGTACTGTATGGTTTGAATTCATGGTCAGGCCATGTCTCAGTACTGATAGGGGAACAGATGCAAAAGGTAAGATAGTAGCACAGTTTTTGCAATGCCTTTGGTGGCTGACAACTGTCATCTACCTTACTGTCAATGTGTTATGGGTCAACTGTTCAGCAGAAGTTCCGACGGATATACTGATATACCTTGCATGTTACAATATTATTACCAGATGTAACCTTGGAAGTAGACGAAAGGGCCTGGGCGGCTGTAGAAGCCAATGGCCAAACCAGGCTTTCCAAAACCATTGCGATGTCAGCCCGAATGCAGGAGGTACCCCCTCGATCAAACACTAACGGAGACCAATCACAATCTGTTCGCAGGGAAATTGTCTTCCGGCCAGGCTCCACTGTCTCATGTCCAGAAACTTGAGATATTCAGTGAGGTGGTAGTTCATGATGATTCGTGTGAATATGTGCTTCCTCTTTGTGGTTCTATAGCCTTTGTGGTTGATCTTGGAGCCACACCCATCAAAGCCCCCGCTGTCAGAGAAACATTTGCTAGACAATGCCCCTGGCACTCCATCTAAGGCAAATATGTGCGTGCATTTCAAGGTGCTTTCAGGAATCAATGTTAACTATTCCAGTCCCGTGGAGTGTTTGAGTGCTACACCGGATCGAATCTTCATGGAACTCCCCCAGAACTCATGGAACTCCCGACGTCACAATGGGAACAAAAACAAGGGGGTGCCGTGGATCCGACCCATCCAGGGCTTTATCTCTGGCCCGCCGTGGTCCCTCATTTCTGCTAGCATATGTCCCCAAGCAGTTTACTGTTTGGGTTTTTGAGAAAAAAGGAGCTGGCCACACTGACTGGCCGCGCCCTTGAACTCTGTGGCCGGGCTCTGTGGCCGGGTCTTGTCCTCCTCTTGTCCTGCTGTTGTCCTGGCCGCGCTGACCAGTCCTGGCAACACTGACTGGCGGCACCCCTGAACTCTGTGGCCGAGTGTTTAGACTGCTGGGTGACATCCAACCGGACGCCCGCGAAAGAAGCGGAATCGCGTAGGGGCCCGCCTCATATTGTTGATAGATATCGTGAGACGCATTGGACATTGTCAATTTTTCATGAGTATGGTCAACAGAAGCAATTTGCTCTTGGGGGGGGGAAGGTAGGGCGTACCAAGACGTCGCTTTTGACTAACATTGGTCCAAAGAATCGTTTTGAAACTGTTTGGGGTCTATGCTGGTATATATACTGTAATTGTTCTCATCTAAGAAATGGATGGCCTATATAATTCTAACGGCCTACACACGGCCGTTCAATCAGCTCGTAGAAGAGTCGATCACGAACCGGCCTGTCCCAGAACTTGACATCGATGAACGAAATGTATCGTTCACGTGTCGATGTACTCAGTGGTTTCAGAGGTCCCGCAGCCCCAGATGTTTTAGACAGGTGGGGGGCCATATAAACCACCGACATTGGGCAGTGTCCCATCTACTCTAACCCACTGCATCGTCATTTTGTCTTGCAGCTCCCTACAAGATGTATCATTGGCGCATGAGCATAGAAGGATTTGCAGACGAGCACGTGTATCGTTCAACCTTTATGTCCATCCCATGACATTCGGCTAAGAACCTTTGCAGTTCAGAATGCACTAACCATATCCATACAATTCCCCATTCCTCGGGCAGTACTACCTCAGGGATCAGGATCATGCAGCAGTTGGTAACAATATTCCACTCCCATCCCGCGCTCTGTGAGTCGAGTGAAGTCGGACACGCAGCTGGCAGCACTTTGTTCGTTGCAATCTGATCAATCTGCACGGCACGACTATTCCACAGGCTTTCAGGAGTTCCACTGGCATTGGGCGGGTATGTTTGCGCGATTCCTCGACTGCACAGTTGCTTGGGCCTGTCGCCGGATGTTGCGGGGCGTCCCTCCGAGTTGGCGTGCTTGGGCCACCAAGTTGAGATGTCCCTTTGTCATACATACGTTCGAAAACCTTTGTGCCGTCTCCTTTGTGCAGAATGCCCTAAGTCGAATCAGACAACTCGCTGCAAATCGATGATCGATCCAGCTACGTGCTAACGTTTTCCAGCTACACGCTACGTTTTTGGAACTGATGGTTACGGTTCACAGGCCTGCGCTATTCCCAGTACGCAAGTTTTCCCAAGTCAGCGGGAAGATGTATCGTTGTAGAATTCTGAAATAGAACAACAATTCTGTGCTTATGGCGCTCAACCGTGACCATCGCAAATGCCTCCAAGATTGACAGTGATGGATTGGATGCAGTTTTCTACGTATTCTGTGGCCCGGGGAAGACAGCGCCATGGCTGAAATATGGTGACGGAGGTGGTGAAATGCTGCAGAGGCTTTTCTCAGGCAGATGGGGTTCGTATGATACATGTTTACAAAGGTTGATCTTGATTTTGGGAACCACATGCAAAAACTCCGCGCACCTTTTGATTACTGGCCAATCAGTTACAAAGACCAACTGCGAAGCAGAGTGTCTCAAGACATGGGATATTCAGCAGACACGGGATATTCAGCAACCAGTGGGTTCTTGGTGAATTGTTTCAACCGTGACAATTATAATTCATTACTCTAAGGAACAGTCTGACCCTGGTTGTGCACACACAATGATAAACTACCAGTACTGTACCGGATGTCGAAAATCGCAGGTCTAAATTTGAAGGTGTGACAATATTACCTTGGTTCATCATTGGCCTTGTGCCAAGGACATCGCGTGAAAGACGGCCATGAAATTCACTAATTCTTGGATATATTGGCAACCTTTGGAAGGAAACACTCCACTAAATGGTTGAGCGCTGACCCACATGTCTCAATATTGACGAAAACAATCAGACAGACAACCACGCGTAGTCTACTCTGTTGCAGCTTAATCCCGGAAAGGCTACCCAATCCAAGAAGACTTGGCAGTCGTTTCTTTTGTTTTGGCGTTTCCATTCAGCAACCCTTTTTGGATATTTCATCTTAAAATTTTGCACGTCCACAAACCTGCCTCAGCAAGGTTTACGGATTACCGATTAGCCTTCGAATTGCACATGGGAACAGGGTGAGCCAAAATTTGGATTGTTCATGACTGTTCGTATTGCAGATTGCGATTAGGGATGGTTAGGGTGTGGCAGATTTGGAGCAGTGTAGATAGCATGGAAAACATGGAAAGGGGTGACCTGCGTTCCCTAGTGCCTCAGTGCCCATGGTGGAGGAATTCCCTGGGTCGGCAATCAGCGCAATCAGGAAATGGAAATGAAAGACTTTGTGATACTTGGCACAAAATGTTTCCCGATGGGACCAGCCACCTGGTCAAGAGGTAGAAGACTGAGATACTCATAGACACTCCGTGGATCCCAATCGCATTGATCAAAGAGCAAACCGTTCAACAGAGCTTCCTTGAAACAAATTGCATCATTCATAACCACCGACTTGGTTGTCGGAATCCTTGCAGCTGGGCGTTCCTGCTGGTAGGGGGTGCACTCCTTAGCAGTCTCGGGCAGTGTTTCAGGATGTGGTGTTTGTGTATGACCCGCCGTGGTTGAACCAGAATTGCTATATAAAGACCAATATATATATATTCCAATGCACAAAAGGTCAGTTCATTCTGGAATATGCTCGAGCTAGTGTGACGAAAGATCATTCCACCAATCCATGGATGGTGACAAGTGGCAAACATGTGCTAGGACTACTAGTAGGATCGTGTTTCGATTTGAGGACAAATTTGGTATCTATTCGGGGGTTTATGAGTGATGGCAGCCCTTTAATGAAAACTGGCAAACTTTTTGGTTGAACCCTGAGTTGATGTTGAATAGCAAAAAGTTGGCAAGAAAGATCAAGAAGGTGAGTCCCATGGTTTGTGGACAAAATGGTGAATGATGGTGAATTGGTTTGGTCGATGAATACTTGATCGTGCGCATCGTGCACTGTATTTCACAGTAATCTGGAAAACCTTGGAACTGACTACTGTGATGGGAAAGCTCTATATAACCATTCTGCCCCGCTACCAGTGGTTAGTTATTATTAAGCAGCTACGCCACAACACCCATAAGTTCCGACCACCAAGCTTTTGCGAGGAAGTTCTGCCGCAACACAAAGATCACCGACGCGACCTTGCCGCCAGCTGTGGCAGTGACCCGGGCGTGAAGAGGAAGTCGAAGCATTCGTTCGGTCACCAGGGTTCACCATTTCTGACCGAACGAAGCAACCCAACGATGTTTTTTAGCGCCGGGAGGGGTCTGGATTGATCATGATAAAAAGTTGGATCATACACAAGCAAACTGCCTTTGCGCCTTTCTTTCTCTGGAGCACACTCATTCCACAACCCAACACTGGAGCCTTCCCGTTCCCATTGCCCTCGCCCACCCTGCGAATGGCCTTAAGAGCAGAACCATCACAAAATATATCTATATATAAGCAAATTTGTGCCCAAACAAAGACATCCCAGAAGAAACCAACGAGTATGTGGCAAGGAGCCCCTATCTCTCTGCAACCGTGTCTCTAAAGTTTTTTGTACAAATTAAGTGGGTTGCTCTCCATGATTATGTTTTTTGGATGTGTTTTACATGCTTGCCTCAGGACGGCTCCACCAAAATAGCAGAACTCATGGTTCCTGTCAAAACTCTTGATCGGACAACTTTTCAATATTGAAAACCTTGAGCAGACTGAGTCCAAAAAAATGCGCCGGAGTTACGGGAAATTACACTGGAGTTACGGGAAATTACACTGGAGTTACGGGAAACTACGCCGGAGTTACGACGCGCAATTTTTTGGCAAGTCTCTACATTGAGATTCTGAACAACACATGTTCCACAGAGATTCTGAACAACACATGTTCCACAGCCCAAAACTTGTCCGGCAGGCTCTGCAAACCTGCGCAGCTAGAACTATATCCCAGCGCCCCGACATCCTGAAACAATGGGAGTACATTTTTGCCTATGTTCTTACACCCACTTGGGTCTTTCAACATGTGCATCGCACTGTACCGATTTCATCCGATTTCATTTAGAAGATCACCTAAACGGATCTGATTGACCCAGTGTGGACCATGCTGAAACCGGTGGAATGAGAAAACAGCGGAACAGGCAAAAGAGCACGCTTTGCAAGCAAAATCATTGCATCAGTAGTGGGTTTACCTTCAAAGAAATGCGGACCACAAAGAATGCAAAGCCTAGAGAATCCACACAAAGTGACTGGGAAAAAACAGCTGGACCAAATCCAGAAAAACGCCGGAGTTGGAAGTCCGGCGCCGGACCCTGTAAAAGTGCCGGACTGAAGATCTAGGTTATATGTGGTGCGGACTGTAATGTAGACTCTTGAATAATCAATCCCGTATGAAGACGTTTTACAATCCAAATGAGGGTTGTGCATACTGTCAATATTCTTTACCATGTATATCCATGTATACATAGTTTAATACGTTTAATAGTATACTAGTTTGTCCAGCCGTTGATTTGGGATGGTTCGCCAGTTGGCCAATCGAAATGGTCAAGAAATTAACAACATACTGAAATAGATGGAGTATAGCTGCATCCTGGCACCTTGCTGCACCATGCTGTGCCCACTTTCCCTCCAGACACTTGGACATCATCCTAGACCAATGTGGTGCAAACGTCAGGTAAATCTATCCAAGAATGCCCTCCAACCAATTTGTGCAGAGTAAGTTCTTTATATATACCTGGACTATCCTGGGATTTATGAACAGCACAAACAGTTGCCTTGTAGTCTCTTGGAAGATCCTGGTGAAAAACTATTTGGTGAGGGGCCACTATAGATTAACTCGTTTGTTGACGTGTTCCCTTCCAAACATCATGTTCCCTGCTCCCGGGTGTGATGCCTCTCGGTCGGTCGCCTGGACCAGCCTGCCTCAACGACCGACTGACCGAGGAACTCATTTTTAACGACCACCGAGTGAAAGAGCATGGGAAACGCACCCTTGAAGCGTGGCTGCAGAGCAGGAAGCGGTTGTTGAAACAACGGTCCAGACCTGGAGTTTTGAGCTGGGTTAGGCAATGTGAGGCAAGCGTTCTTTTCAGAGGCCTCCTTGGCCTCCTAACATGGAACTTGTTAGGTGGATTTTGATCCGTGCCCCCCCAATGAATCAACCGCTTGGATCTTGGATCCTGCTGAGGAGTGTCGCACAAGCGTGAGGGTTGTAAGTCTTGCCCTTCAAAAAACAGAGGCCGTCCAGCCGTACCATCCTACCAAATTGTATCAAATCGTGTAAAAATATATATATATATATATTATGCGTGTGTGGTTACTTTTATAGTTATGTATGTTCAATTGCTAGGATTAGAAACAATGTTCATTGGAAAGAGCCTGTTTTAAATTTTTAAAAAGTCAAAACAAGTCAAAAAAAGTCCATCCCAAATGTCAAAATCAAAAAACAATCAAATCAGTAAGTTTCAGAAGGCAAAAGTCAATTTGCCCAGATCCGATTTTTTAGATGTTTTTCCCCAAGCAGTGTGGGGACACTGAGGGGTTCTTACGGTAGGTGAAAGGAATGTGTGCTTAGATCGCTGTTCCGCGCGAGCATGTGCGGCTAATTCGCTGCTATTTACAGTACATTCATGACTCTCGACATCGTCCATGTGCACTTCGACTGCGCAGGCTCGCTGAATCTGGGTGTCCGCGGCGGGTGCTTCAGGCCCTTCAGGCGACTGCGCTCTCGTTGTGGTGGTGAATCGTGACTTTTGGACATGTGGCTCGTTTGCAGATTTCGTGGCAGGCACAGCACTCTGTGACCCTCGATGTGCACAGGCCAGGTGCAGCACTTTGTGAACCTCGAAGTGAAGATTTCGTCACAGGTACAGCACTTATTGTAAACCTCGAAGTGCAGATTTCGTGGCAGGCGCAGCACTTGGTGAACCTCAAAGTGCAGATTTCGTGGCAGGCGCAGCACTTGGTGGTGAACCTCGAAGTGCAGATTTCGTGACAGGTACAGCGCTTTGTGAACCTCGAAGTGCAGATTTCGTGGCAGGCGTAGCACTTGGTGAACCTCAAAGTGCAAAATTCGTGGCAGGTGCAGCACGTGGTGGACCTCAAAGTGCAGATTTTGTGGCAGGCGCAGCACTTGGTGAACCTCAAAGTGCAGATTTCGTGGCAGGTGCAGCAATTGGTGGACCTCGAAGTGCAGATTTCGTGACAGGTACAGCACTTTGTGAACCTCGGAGCGCAGATTTCGTGGCAGGTACAGCACTTTGTGAACCTCGAAGTGCAGATTTCGTGGCAGGGGCAGCACACTTGGCGAACCTCGAAGTGCAGATTTCGTGGCAGGACAGCAGTTTGTGAACCTCGAAGTGCAGATTTCAGGCACAGCGCGTGGTGAACCTCGAAGTGCAGATTTCGTGGCAGGCACAGCGCTTGGTGAACTTCGAAGTGCAGATTTCGTGGCAGGCGCAGTACTTTGTGCTCTCAGATGCTCACTCTCTCACTCTACCACTCTCACTCACTCTCGCCCACACTCACTCGCGCCCACCTTCACTCTTACTCACTCACACTCACTCTCACTCTCACTCTCACCCACACTCACTCACACACACTCCCTCTCACCCACACTCACTCACACCCACATTCACTTCATCACCGCCATTACCTCTCTGGACCCCAATGCATCTAGATCTCTAGACTTTCTGCTTACAGACCTCACACACACTGTTTGGGGTCTCTTGCCGTCCCTGCAACTTGGGCTGGAGTAGGCAGTTCAACTGCAAGTGAGTAGTATTAGTAGGGATTTGGAGGGATGAGCTCGTGAGGTGTTAAACATTGGTCATGAGGTGTTAACCGGCAAAAAGCTAGGACTTGGAACAAGTTGGTCCATGGGTGGCTCACCAGTTTTCAGGAAGGAATTATTGGACATTGGATCGGAATGTTCTTTCAGCTCAGTTTTTTGGGGTGTTTTCTGGGCGAACTTAGGTTTAGATGGAGATGGAGGGAGTTCAGTTCGCCTTCCCAAAGGCTAAATGTTCATGGATATGGGTGCTCAACAGAATCACCGCGCCTGGCGGGTGCCAAAGGAAACCCCAGAAATGTGGGGTTCAGATGTTGGGTTGGAGTGAATCATTTCCTCTCCAGCTTCAGTTGCCTTCCCAATCTCACAGACCCAGTCGGAGCACAAAAGTGCTTGAACACTTTCAGTGAGGCGTTTTCCACCGCGCTGTTCACAGGAATTGCTAAGCACGTGTTGCCCACACGTGCTTTGAGAACCTTGTTCCTACTCGTTTTGTCGAAACAGGCAAAGGTTTTTTGTTTGATTTAAAACCGACGGCGTTTTTGGGGGAGCGAAGTTCAAAGGGGCACTGCTAAGATCTTCCCAGCCCCAGCCCTGTTACCGCTCACACTTGAGCTACACACATTAACCAATATCTCCATGCGGTGGGGCCGAATCGATGGAGTCGGAGAATGGACCAGCCTACCCAGTTGTTTTACGAGGGCCGGGGGTTCCACCGGTTGGGTCTCCCTTTTGCTACACTTGGACTCACTAACATGGAAGTGGAACAAGTTCCCTTAAGAGACTACCTTCCTTCACAAACAAGGGTGAAAACCACTTCCATGTGTTAGTGAGTGGGAGTGTAATAGAATAACTACACCCATTTGGGCCTTCGTTTTCTTGAGGACTTCTTTGAGTTTGGGGCCGCGCTGGAGCAGCTGGCTGAGCGGAAGCACGTGAAGGTGCGGGGATTCAACTGTCACAAGAGGGGGAGTTTGGGGGGAGAATCTTTACGAACCCAATACTCCCCGGAATCATCATGGTTCCGGTGATGAGAACAACTGTTGATTCCAAAAATAACATGCCTTAAGGCTCCAAGTGCCTTCTAAGAAGGTGTTTGAGGTGGGTGCCAGGAGAGTCCAGTCATACCTCCTGAGGAGGTACGACTGGGTTCTAGGGATGGTGATCCCAGGATGCCCGGGAGAACCTCTCAGCTCGCCAGGTGAGCGACCTTCATACCGTGGCCCTCCTCACGGGCGGGCCGCAGGCCAAGTTGACGCCCTCCAAGGGGGGCGAACCACGGCTGAAAGGCGCCGAACAGTGAGCCATTGGTGGGATGTTCGGGGTTGTGCTCCCAAGCATGGAAAAATGGGGTTGGAATTGGTTATTGTCCATGGGAAAATAGGCCACAACTATGTTTGACCCATGTGTTGTGGCTAAAAGGTGCGATCTTAGTGATGTGTCGCAGTCACATGACATGAAGCAAGTGTTGGGTCCGCCGTCCAGTTCAATTGAACAGGGGGCCAGGTAGAACATATTACAGTGGTTTCAGAGTAAATGGCACAAACCCGAAGATGTCCTGTAGATGGGGTCCACATAAAACCACCTTTTGGGGATTGTGCCATCTACTCTGAAACCACTGTACAAGGGAATGAAGAACCTGACCAATACCAGAAGTTCCGTGTGAGGGCCGTTATCGGACGATTTCGCCAAGAAAGATGCACTTTCTTGGGTTTGAGATGCGCCCCGAGATGGAAACTTCTGGTAGCAAGTTAAGGGCAGACATTTTAACACTGATTGGAAGCAAACCCATGGAATATCGCGGATGACACGACCTTCGAGTTTGGATCACGAAAGTCCAAAGACCAAACAAGTGGTGGGTTTTACTCACTATAGTGGTCCACATACCCTTTGAGGTGATTGGAGACACTGTTATGTGGGTTTGGAGGGTAAGTACTCACTTCACTTCCACGTCACCGACTGGATCCGATGGCTGGTGGCTTTGACCGGTGCCCCTGCAGGTCGATAGTGAGGATGGTCAGACAGGACGGGACATCATCCAGCTGTGTGCAAGGATGCATGGATGAGATAGATATGGATGCAATTGGAATTGTTTGTAGGGCACACTCTCACTCCTCTCACTTCCTCCAACATACCTCCAACATACCTCCAATATCCCCCCGTTTGTATACCATCCATCCGCAGAATGAGGGGCTTGTTGGCCGCTGACCGTGAGCGTCTCAATCCGCCAGGGCGCCGAATGCGTTCGCGCCGCGTCTCGCGGATCCAACGTGCCTTGGGTCGCAGGACGGAGTCGCTGCAGACGGATGGGACGGGGCAAGGGGCCAAAGCGGGGCTTTCAACGTGAAGCACTGCCTTGGGAGTAGCTGTAACATGCTGTAACTGCTGGGCGAGCCATTTGGGTGACTGGCACAGTTTTGGGCAGGAAGGAAGGAATCAATCCTGCAGCAACTGGGACAAGCATGGACAAGCGCAGTTTTGGGGAAAGAATTTCTTTGCTGCCAGATTTCAAAGGCAAACGGAAGGGTAGTGCACAGAAAGGGTTTTGCAAAAACCTATTCTACTAACGTCGTGGAAGGCGCGTGACCTTCGTAGAACCCAAGGCTGTTCGTGGACAGTTCGTGGAATGGTGGGCCAGCAGGAGAACTGACTGCAACGAAATCCCAGAAACCTTCGCAGAACTTCGTGGAAGGTATTTTTGATGCACTAACTTTGTATAAGCAATTTTTGCTGACCCCCTTTCTCCACACACCCTCCGTTTAGCCTTCAAGATTCTTTCAAAGTGATGAAATCGGCGAGTGAAATCGTCATGGTTGTTCAGAGTGCTTGAGGGCCACTGGTAAGCTAAAACAGGGGTTAATTTTTCAAGAAAGCTGTTTTCTTAGTGTGTGTGTATGTGAGAAGGTGGGCTGATGCGTTGCAGCGAAGCAACAGAGAGAAGACAAGCCACACTTTGTACCGTTGTATGATGAGTTTAGGGTAGGTGGCACACACGCACACACTGTAGTTGACATGGTGAAGAAGGTGACATGTAGGACAACTAACCCTCATTGTATTATATCGCATCGGATTATTCAACCATGCAAACAATATAATGTTGGATCAGATTTGGAAGCCATTGGATACCAATAATTGAATCCAATATCAATAACACTGTGAATTATATCGCTATCAAGTGATCACCGCTCATACAGACACTGCTTTGCACGGCGTCCCCACCCGCGCCGGGTCGCAACCGCTGCAGGCGACACCAAGAAGCTGCAACCCATCCTGCAGGACAAGGAGGGCTGGCGGCGTGCCACTGGGCTGGCTGTTTCGGGCAGGGACATCGAGGTTGGAAGATGTTGAAGCCTTCCCAGGGGTATGGAGTCAGCAAAGTCTTTGTCCCAGCTGGACAACAGCGGAAGTACTCCATACCGTATGGAGTGGTTCCACTCTTGCCCAAAGAAGCCTGGCCGCTTCTTCCGGATCAGGTACAAAGCCCTGAAAAGGTGTAGTCGGTCGAACGACCCGCACCAGTTGCTTCGGTTTCTCGAGACTCTCGACCGAAACTTCACCTGCTCGGTCTCTTCTTCGGCGTCAACGGTTGGATTCCACGGCTGACGAGACGCGCCGAGAGCACGTCCTGAGGATGTGGACAATGCCCAGCTGTGGAAAACCTTCGGCTCGGCTCCCGGACGCCCGTTCTGGGTGTGTCGCCCGGTCGTAGGACAGGAGTAGTACAGGATCCGGCTGAAGCTTCAGGTGTCTCACCGTCTTGGAGATGGCTGCTTCATATCTTTCAGCGATCTTTTTGGGGGTGCCAACCCAAAATGAAGATATGATAAGATCTGAAGGATATTGAAGGATCATCCTATTTTTGGATATTTTGTGTGTGTGTGTTTGGAGGGTGCATCATCCTCATCCTGCCAAGGCCTCAGCACCTCAGCGGGCCGTGCTCTACGCCAGATCTATGGCGCAAATGTGGTGCCCCCGCCATGGAGCCGAGAATCGAACGTCCCTGCGGACACCCCTACCAGTGAAAAGAAGCTATTCTTAGCTCCTGGCATAACTACTAGTAACAAGCAGCTATGTACAGTAACAGCGTGCACCGCTACTAGTAACAAGAAGCTATTAGCAGCTCCGGTGTCGCTGGATAGGTGACGGTGTTGTTTCCCTTTGGCTACGCTCTGGAAGAGACCCACATGGAACCTGAAAAGCGGTGGGTTGTAGAGGTCCATGTTCCGGTTCCATGCAAATTCTTGCCGGGTGTGAGTCCGCTTCTAGGACGTTTTTGTTGTCTTGGTTTCTTCAGCAAATCCATGAGGTTTGTTTTGCACGGATTTTGCAGTGGTCTAGCCGCCAGCCAGGTGCTATTCCAGGCACCCCCCCAAGGTCGCCTGTGACGCCATCCACTTGATTCTTCCAACTTGTTTTTTTTTAAATATCCCAAAAGGCCTAAACTAAATGTTAAAGAAGGCTTGGCCTATTATAGCTGAAGTGACTCTGGGCCAACGTTTGTTATTGTTTCTCTCCAAAAAGGTTTGGACTGGTCCCTTGGCCATTTTGGTCGGTTCAGAGCTGTTCCTGAGGCCCCCAGAACCGCCTCGTCTGGGAGGCTCAGGATCTCTCGGGAGCGGCGGAGGTCAGATGTTTTGGTGTATGTATATACAATAATTACATATGTTGTATATATATATATATATACCAGTAGTTCCAATCCGGGATGCTTCTTGGAGGAAGTACCCATCCATTCACGACCTTGGCACTGGAAACCACTCCTTTGGAACTCCAAAGTCGGGTGTCCTACTATGAGTGACGCTAGGCAAGACGATCATTGCAAAGAGCTGCGAAGGTGTACAGAGTCCCAGCGATGTCGCTTGATTTGCGTTCGAGTCAGTGGTAGTAGAACTGATTTTGTTGTGGTTTTCGGTGGCTCTTTGATTCTTTTTGTGGAAAGTGTGCCAATTACACATTTCAGTCAGTCCTCATCAGCTTTACGGGGATCCTGCGTGTGTTTCTTCCAATTGTGGGGTACGTCGCATGTGGAGTAGTGATGTTTTCCGGGGTATAGGTAGCCTTAGGTGAAAAAGAGACTCCCAGAGTGTGGAGCTTGAAGCATGCGTGGCCTCAGTGACCCTCTTCATAATGAGAACTTGCTCTAAGGCATGCCCTCGGTGTGCTCATTGAAGCTTCAGAAGATTCAAGGCGTGACATGGCCATGCAAAACTCAAAAAAACAATCCAAATCTTCAGAGAACACGGTAGAACTACCGCCCGGGAAGGGAGTGGAACGTAGTTCGCTACGTTCTGTTGAGCCAGTTTCGTCTCGGCCGCGAAATCGTGAGAAAACGACGCTGGCAGTGCATCCCAATCGGGTCGATGCATGTCGATTCGGCGAAGCCGACTTCGTCTTCGTTGACCCCTTCGGATGGAACGTTCACGGGACAAGGATGGGCGTTGGTCCTTTGGTTTGCTGTTGGTCCTTTGGACTGGTGTTCAGTGTGTTTTTTTTTTCATTTTTAAAGGTACTGCATCGATACATGGAAGAGGATTGTATGCATCATAGGGCGTCTATAATCCGTATTCGAGTCAATAGAACAATACATCATGCCGCGCCCTTGTACGACTATCCTTCCAGTTCATTCTTCCAGTTTCCCCACACGTCCAGTTTCCTTGTAAGGTAATGTAAGGTACAATAATTATTCATACCCGGATGGATAGCGTCTACCAAGTCGAGTCTAACAGAGTAAATAAGTTTCATTCAAGGCACCTTGATCTTGCAGGCTAGCTGTACTAGTCAAGGAATGTGGATACTGTTTCTAGGATGTTGATGTTGTGTGTTTCAACGTTATGTTTTGCTTGTATTTATAATGTATATATAGTTCATGTTGGTTCTGGCTCTAGGCCTTTGGCTTCGTGGTGAGTGGCTTGGCTTCTTGGCTTTTTGTTGCAGTGTACTGTTGATTACTGTTGCACGTGGCCGGGTTGTCAATCTATGCTGCTTGCAGTTGCCAGTGTCCTGTGCCGCTGGTGGGTCGTCAAGGCAGGATGGAAAGAAGGAAGAAAGGAACAGCAATTCCACTAGAGCAGGAAGGGGCCATTGCAACTTAGCATACCTTTTGCCGACCACCAGAGGGTTTGTCAAAGAAGGTGGGCATAGGTGGGCAGACAGATCCCAGTATGCCTCAGAATGTTGATTGGATCTTCCCTTCCAAGAGTTCCATCCAATCTACCTCTATACATCTCTAAACCCTACGCATCGCGGGGCCCGGGGGGTGAAACAGCTGGATGGATCTAGTTGTTCCATGATTTTTCTTCACCGACTTCCGCCAGTCTTGCACAGGAGCCTTGGATTGCGGGACACGTCTTCAACCCCCAGGCGGGGTCGAGCCGGGTGCCGAAAGGGGGAAGGGCAGGTCTGAGGATTCATCCATATTCGTTCCTCCCAAAAAGTGGAGCTCCAATCCCATACAGGGCACGGAGTGACAGGATCTCATCAAGGTATTCATGGCCCACCTATGCTTCGGTGCATGCTGGGAAGCTTTAAGGCTGGGGTTTTGAATTGGCTTCTGGACCAGATGAGTTTAGTAAGGTGACTTCCCAGTTAGACTGTTTGGAAGTCCTGGGTCGTCCATACACTCCGCCCTTTCGATGCTGGGGTGGGTGCCAGAAGTGTCTAAACTACCTTTCGACTATGGGTGGCGCCCTACAGCAGGGGATGGATCTTGAGACCCTCCCACCCCTCCCACCCCCCTCCTCAAAACAAAAAAAGCGACATTCCCCGGGTTTTTGGCAAGTGTGAACCGAGAAGATGGCCCAGTGAAGACTCAAATTCACGGACAAGCCGCTAAGCCAATGGTCGAACGCATTCCTCAGCTGTGAAAATCGATGGTCTCTCAACAGCAAGAAGCACCCCTGGTAGACCAGCGACACGTTCAAACCCTCCGTTTTTTGACGCGACTTTGGGTGGACCCACCTTGGCAGGAATGAGCCAAAGCATCTCGTTACCTTCCTTGCGGGCCTCTCGATCGCGCAGTTAGATTGCGCGCGGACAGGCGCGACGACAGGCGCGATGGCGCGACCTGATGTCATCCACCCAAATAATGGAATCGATGTTTTTTTGTTTAATTAGCTGGGTGGTGCTATGTGTCCCGCCAAAACGATGGTTATATAGAGAGAAGAGAACATCGCGACACCTGATGGAGCTTGGGCAGTACCAACCTTTGTGATTTGATACGATCGCTGGGGGTCTCCAGGGCCATGGTGGGGGCCATCTGTGGTGAGGCCGTGTGAGGCCCACAGACACCCTCTATCAGATCATATCAAAAGCATCTGAGATCCACTCAGGTGAGTGAAAGCCCCAAAGCATCTGAGAGCCTTCCACTCCTTAGTGCTGGCACCCGCTTGGTGCGCTGAACCGCCCGACACCGCGACGCCGCACGGACGTGCCTGGCGCCGAAAGCACAAGAGGTGCTTTTGGCGCGGCAAGCGGCCGTCGTGCAATCCAGCTTGGCTGATGGAACCAGTTCACTGAGTGTCAGAGGTTACCACTTACATCTACTTACTCTTATTGAAGTGGTCCGAGATCTCACTCCGATTTGAACCCCCAACTCTCCATACCTGCAGAGCCCCCACTCTTTGACTCCATGAGAGTATATGAGAGTAAGGAGTCCATACATCTGCAGATAAGCACAGACCTTTCAGAGTCCATGCATCGTTCCTGGGTACCGGTCGCCACTGCGGCAGTATTTCACTCAGTTTGCCGTCACACTCACACATGGCGGTCGCCGGGCGGGGGCCACTGGCGTTTGCGATGCTCATGCAACGTGTTGGGGGGCCACTTGCAAGTAGTAAGTCAAACCAAGCCATGTCATGTAGAATCTTGGCTTACAACCCCCCCATAGTCATATGAAGAGGTTTTTGCAATTCCATGTTGGTTGGTTTATGAATCAAGAGTCTATATTCATGTACGGATCAGTATGGCTGTTGATTGGTGATCCCTTGGATGGTCCTTGTGCGTTTGCTCGGTTGGGATGCTCGGTAGAATGACCTTTCACTTCAAGTGGTGATGCCTTAGCTTCAACCCACACCACGCATGAGCACGCCATGTACAGTGCACGCTCCCTTGCTTTTGCCGATGCAAAAGCCACACGCAGTGACAGTCAGCCATCAATGTCGTTGACTGTGAGCACACCGTGGCGGCTGGCATTAAAAGACGGGCTTTGTGATGATAGGCACCAGTTCCTCTTGGAATTTGTTCTAGTGTGCTTCAAGCTATGTTAGCATAGTTGTTAGCATATTTGCTCATTGTTATGTGCCCATGTTTGTGGCATTTGCTTAAGTATATAACTATAATTATATATATTATATATACACATGTTTACATATTATAGTAGAGTACTTAGTAGTATATACATAGATAGCATAACGCACGACACATAACTAAAAAACAATACTGCATATGTCGTGTCGCAGCTATTCGGAGCAACCGTGAGGGTCAAGTCTGACGTGCTGTTCTCGCCCAGCGAACAGCTCCAGACGGCAAGTCAAGCAATGTCAAACATAAATCGACCAACTTGGTTTGACCAGAATGGATTTTTGAGAACGGCTTGTTGATCAGGGGGGCTTCCTGGGAAGGAAAGATTTCCAAAACAAAAAGCAAGTGAAACCATTTTCTGCATGTGAGATTAGAGAGATCTCTGGGTGAAAATTGATGTCCTACCTGAAGCCACCATTAAGGTTTGAAGGGCCCCATATTGCTGGGATGTTGTTCAGATCACGTTTGAACACCTGACTTCGGGTAGGTGAACGATTCCCTGAGAACGGATGTCATCATGCAAGTTACAACACATGTACATTAAAAGTAACATTAAGTAGATCAGATCAGATGTTACAAGAGTGAAATCGCCCTGCACGGTCCAGTTCAGCTCGAGCTTGGCACCATTGTTGGGGCCCGTATGGGGTTCGAACGACCCAACCAACTAGGGGGGTCCACCTTGTTCTGAAATGTTTGATGGACCCCACTAGGGGTTCTCAGCACATGTTCTTCACTCATCATGCTTAAGAACCAGGTACAGTTCTTGGAAGCCAGCTGGAGGACCATGAAGCCGTCCACAACTGCCTGGGTTACTCGGGCCGACGAACTGGAAGCTCTGGTGCTTGTTGTTGAAAGAGGTCCAGCAGCATCGAATGGAAGTAGGTAATCCAACCAAGTCATCCGACAATACCTACTACGACCCCAAGTCTTTCAACACACGCAGCGAACTCCCAGAATTCAGATAATTACTGAACTCCCCAGCTCTCCCAGATCACCTATTTATATATTTTGAAATACCGTCAGGAGAGCCATCATAGAATGTCATAGAACTGACTTCCTGACTTCCACCGACGACCCATGGTGATCGCAGCCGATGGCGGCGCCAGACAAGGTCGGTCATGTTTCCCGCGCAAAATCGCTTGATCCCCGCCGAAAGCTGCGGGGTTGGACATCTTGTGTAGTGATCCTCCAAATAGATAGAAACGAGTTACAATACATTATTCAGTGGGGATCTACTTTTCTAATTATATGTTTATTTGGGGTCACAGTATATATATATAGGGTCTGTCCTATCGCCTGTAACAGTCAGTAAACCATCATCATCCACTGTTACAGGTGATGGGATAGAACCCAAAGTATATATATATACAATTTTTGACGTTCAGATACTATCCCTGCCCGCGGACAAATGTTGGACATTTTTGGACGGACAGGAACCATTTTCTAGCGTCGGATGCGCAGAATAGAGCTGTCGAGATTTTAACATTTTCTCCATTAGGATCCATTATAGGTATATGAAAGAAGGTGCTGGGAATCACAGAGGTGGATGAGGTGCCCAATTGGGACCAGCCACGAGCATTACCAAGCTCACGGATTCTGGTTGGTTCAAGTTGAACTTGCTTGAAGAAACAGGACTGATCCATCACGAAGAGGTACCAGCTTGAGGGGTTCTCAAAAAACATCCCATTTTCAATGACAGGCACCATCCAAGAAGTGCCCAATGGGCCCAGATGGGTTCATCCACAAGATGAAGGGTCGTCTATGGGTCGTCTATGTGCATTTGACTTCGCAGCACGGGCCTAGATTCTCCAGATACTGTGATCGTTGCTGTTCACACGTATGGTTGACAGTTGGTTTACAAAACCCAGACCCCCCAGCAGAGATTTTCACCATCCGAACAGGGGGGATGTCATGAAATCAACATCATAAAACAGAATATTTATCATTCAGTTCCACCCCAACTACCTCCTGAGTGTGCATTTTGGATCCACTGGGAATATGAACCCTAGGGCTCCAGTCGTACCTCCTCAGAAGGTATGACTGGACCCTTTCAACCCACTCCAGTCCCACCTTCGAAAGGAAGATACGACTGGAGCCCTAGGGGAAAAGCCCTTCTGGGCGATTCAGATGGCCTCCCGACGGGTCGCACGAGATCGCCGGAGACGACACGAGATCGCCCGAGGTGGTGTTTCACTTGCCCATCATCGATGCAGAGGCCCTTCCTGCGGTGGCAGGGCCTGAAGCGCGAGCACGAGCACTTTTATAAGCCAGTGGATCGGAAGAAGCTGCGTACTTTGCACCAGTTGAGGCGGTAGGAAGTTGTTTCAATATTGGCAAGTGAGATCCTTTTACATTGAGTTTGGGTTTTCAGCTTTGTGAGAATTGACCCCAATGCGCTGCCGGATTCTTGTGGGTTTATGCATGCAGACTGAACCCAACGATTTCTTGGAGTCCCTTTCGAGAAGGGTGAGAACATCCCTGCAGGGTGGCCACCTGACCGACCCCTTGGGAACGAGGGGTGCCCTTCAAAAATCTGGGTCACTGACAGGAATCAATGTGGTTTTAAAAGAAAACACTCAAACAGAAGGCCTATGAAGGCCCCTCACCAAGGTGAACACCTTTATTGAGTGGGAACGAGTAGGACGTTTTTCAATAACCGGTTTCAGCAACCCGCACGACACGGTGTTCTTCCCGCTCTTCAGCCCGGGGTGGCCATGGTGCAATCGCCCAGAGGCTCCAGCGCCAGACAGCCTCGCGCTGGCGCACAGCTCCAGAGTGGAGGTTTCTCCGCTCTTGGCACCAGAGAGGATGTGGCTTGGATGGATGATTGGATAGGATCCTCCGGAAAATGAGTCTCGTGGTCGTAACTTGTAGGGAATCAAGCAAGAAAAGTTAGGCCCATGCACACGTGTATTGTATAGGACATCGTTAGTGACATGCTCAATAGGTGTCCTTCGAATGCGCTGCCAAGTGCGCCAGCAGGTGGTTTGGAGGGAGCTAAGGAGATCTATATAAGGAGCTCGGGAAAGTAGCCTCACGCAGCTTGGATGAGTGTCCAGCAGAAATGCTGCATGTGAGCCATCGTGAGCCATCGTGACCCTGCCCGCTGTGTTTTTCAGCGTTTGGCTGTGGAAGGGGCTGTGGAAGTTTGTCAAGGAAGATGTGTTCATTGGAGCGGCAAGGGGGAATCACTTGGAATACTAGCTGCGATGCAACAGATAGGAACCTGCTAGGAGAAAGCATCATGGCATCGTGGTAAACAGCAGGTCCCGACACCGAACCGATCGTAGGTAAAAGATCCATGATCAGGCTTCCATCCAAAGACCGCTTGTATATAGTTTTGTTTGAGGGGGGAACTTCCTGCCAACTCCTTTGGTATAGCAATAGGACTGGTAGTCTACAGCCCTAGCTAGCTGCTCGGAAGGGCAACCTCAACTCCCTTCGCGAGGTTGAAGCCCGGCTACTGTCCAGCAAGAGAGATTGAAGAGCAGCGGACTCAGCTAAATTGGACAGCTTCATTTTGGAATCCGGCTTGCCAAAATCCCATTATTACAGAAACCACCAGGGTTCTTTGGTGGTTCGTTTTTGGAGCCAGTTCATTTGGTAAGCGGATGTCCTGATGTCCTACAAAGTCCTGCACATACTTCCCAGCACCCAAAACCTTTGACAGAATTCAACTTCATTGGCACTATATATATAATAAATTATATATATTTTTATATTTATACATAAAACATTATAGTAATATATATATATATATGTGACTAAGTGTTTGTGTGTTCATGAACAGTGTTTTGAATCGAACGCCTCAACCATTTCGTTCGAGTTGGTGCATGTTGTTACATTGTTACTGTGATGTTTCTTTTGTTTTCCCCCTGTAGCTCCTGCCAAAGAAAAGTAATCACCAGTGAAACACACTGGCTATGACAGATAACTCGGCACCGCAAGGCACCGTATTGGGTTCCACAAGCAATGTTGGAACCTGATACCGAATACCCTAGCATCCTCATGCGTCTTTTGATTGCTTTCGTCCCGCAGAAGTATGAGGATCGAAGCATGTACTCCTTGTGTGATCACCCCCTTCGCGAATTCGACGACGAATCGGAAAGGCTTGATCCTACAAGGGTGCAGAGCCCTCGAATGTCGAATGCATGCTGAATGCTGAATGATGTTGAACTTTCGGATGGTCTTGGAGTTGACTGATGTTGAATGAATGCTTCTTAGAGGATGGCATTTCAAACTGGGAGGAGATCCTGGACAGATTCTTTCAGTGGGGTTTTGTGCACATCAAACCTCCAGGTGGACAGATGTTCGCAGTTCAAAACGACGCGTCTCATCATCTCATCTCAGACTCTTTTCCTTCACACGAGCGTCGGAGCGGAGGTTCCTCCGCGCAGTTTTCTCCGGTCGCTGGGTGGACGCTTCTGGTCAAGCTAGTCCCCGCGGCTCATGTATTCATGTATAGAGATGTGTATGGAGATGAGATATGATGAGCAGGTGAACCTCTTTTACCAAATGAGACTGGAACATCTGAGTGTGGGGATTTTCTCAGGTAGCCAAGCACAGCAAACACCAATTTCAGCCAACTTCGCAGTGCAAAGAACCAGTTTGTCAATAAGGCTTTGGCGCGAGAAGTCCCGTTTGGACGAGCTCTTCGATGCTGGGCTGGGCCAGGTGGGACGCTTTGTGCGTCGACATTTGAATGCATAATTTTCGTTTATTCGGGTGGTTTCGGGGATCAATGTACCCTGCAATAAAGAAGGGGTTGCCAGGCTAGATAGCCTGAAGTAAGACATGGTCAGTATACCAGCGCTTGGTAGTTTTTGAGATGCATTTTCGGTTCAATGTTTGATTCTCAAGAGCATTGGACGATTTTAAGGTGGGTGCGGGGTGCTTGCCTTTCTTATTTGGTTGTGCCTCCTACCACCGGCATGCCGTGCTTTTGAACGCTGCAGGAGGCTGCGCACAAATGAGGCCAATGGTAAAATTCCATTTGTTAGCTAAACCTTAAGTCGAATAAGATATAGACGTGGCTTTGAGTTCTGCCCATTGTGGGCCAGGCCATGCTTTAATCTTGGTGTTTGATCTCGCAACCAGGTGTTGTTCACAACCTGTCGCTGCCTTCAGGCCGACCTAGCCTGGACTGATCAAACGACCCAGATGATGTGACCAGAAGCTACATGAACTCAACAATATTTGTCCGACTATAGTGGTCCCCTCAAATAGATATAGAAACGGTTTCCCATACATGTTGAGTGGGGATTTGCGTAGCACCCTGATGGAAAGCTTGGGTTCTTTCCGAGACGTTGTTCCTCCAGATTCCTCTTTTTGGGTCGCCATGTGGAAAACACGTGAAACAGACAGAGGACCACTTTGGTATCAGCAGGTGCATGGCTATCCAAGTGTCCCAGTCGTCAGACCGTCCATCTGAACATCGTTCCAACAGTGCGGCTACTCATTACACCAACGCGCTGAAACAAAATACCTGACATATGACATAAATATACTGAAGTGCTTTATTTCGCATTGATGCTGATGTAAAAGGAAATTTATAAGTACTCCTTGCCACTTGCTGTGGTTCATGCTCCATTGGTAGCCACGCAAATGAAGAATTTCACTCCACTTGATGCCTCCTCAAGGGTCATGAGATCTCCCAGCAACAACGACGCCGCCACACCATCAGGCGTATTGGAGGGCTCGGGAGGAGATTTACCCGGAGGCAGGTTCAACACTCTGTGGGGTTCAAAGAGCGAGTAAAAAGATGTAAAAAGAACAGCAAGAAGCCACCTGGACCATTTGTGGGGTTGTAATCTGTTTATTGCAAGACTCTATTTGGGTCATCTTGGGGATTGGAACTGATCTGAATTTGGAGATTCCTTCGGTGCTCCACGCACATCAAATTCATGACTCCATGACATTTGCCGGGCCCAATACGGAATGGAGATGTTGGAATCATGTCTGCTGGAGGGGCAGGGCCGGGCAGGGTGCTCATGTTGGGCTTTGAGGTCCATTCTAGCAGCAGATATCTTCGCCAGGATGAGCCGAATCGGGGGCGGTTGAACATGAAAACATCCTTTCCCATTTCTGTTTCACAGCTGCAGCAAAAAACCGGCAGTCCGATCTCCGATGTTTGTCGAGAAAAAACCGGCAGTCCGATTTTCCGGTGTCAACAGCTTCCCTCTGAAAGGTCGGTTTGAGCAGTAGTCCGGTGTCCAGAGGGGAACAGATGAAACCTCCAATCTCCTCCATGCACATGTGACCCGAACGATGGAGCGGCTCCTCCTCCGGCTGCGCCGCGCGCAACGGCCACCCGCTGCGACCGGCTTCGTCTTCGGCCGCCTCCGCTCGAGTCGCGGCGAGTTCGAGGCCGGTGATCGAGGGGGATCCTTGGGGAACCGTGCCGGCGACAAACTTCAGGAGCGCCGTGCGCGGTGCGCCGGGCCCAGGGGTGGTTGAAGGGCCCAGGGGGGGCCGCTTGGCGGTTCGCACTGGCAGTCCCACGGAGTGCTGGAAGCACTTGGGAGCGCATCCACCATGACATGGACCACATGGAAGTGGAGTGGTTTTCTATTTGGAAAGGCGAGGCGAAGAACGTGGAATATGATTTCTGTCAGTATCGAGGAGAATGGTCTTGCTAGTGGCCAGGGGTCAATGTTGATACTGTACATATTCCAGTCCTGTCAAGCATGGCATGTCACGGGTCAAAAAACTGTTCCTTGATGTTGAACTTCACCGGAATCCTAGGACCTAGGAGTGATTGGTCAGAACATCAGAAGTATTTGAGTTACTCCCCCGCAGAATCCCGCAGAGTAACATTGGACCCCCAAAACCACTGCGGTTGTGGAGGAGTCGATTCGGGTCTATGTTAGTCTCCGGGTGGGTATTCTGTTCTTCGTATTGGTTTGGGATGTTCCTGTGTAAGTTTGCATCACTCGAAGTTCAGGAACCTCTCAGATGATGCGAGAAGCGCTCCACTTTGGACCGAACGCAGAGAGTTCACTGGACATAATTCTCGTCGACATTTGTTTATCTATTGCCCAAACACTTCATCTGTGGAATTCATGCACTGACCCCGAAGCAGCCCAAATGTAATACATGCAATACCTGGAGACTTTGGGTTATATAAGGGGTTGGACACTTTGCGGCTCGGAATGCCAAAACCTTCATCGGCTTCCTGCTTTGGACCTTTGCGGGTGTTCCCGATGTTCCAGGAGATTGTGGATGCCGTGGGCGGTTTGCAGGCGCAGTTAAGTCGTTGATGGCGTTTCTCAGTGTATAAACCTTATGATCCTGAACCATACAATACTATACAATACTTCAATAGAAAGGTTGCTTTCAGAAATTTCAGGAGAACACGCCAGTGCTGATGGACATGAGGAATCTCATTTGCTTGGAACGTGCAGGGTTGTGTTTAGAGGCCTGCCGTGTAGCCAGTTTCGCGAGCACGCGGGCGTCACCTGCAGTGTTGAATCGACCAATCTCGAAACCATTGCCGGACCCGATCCGTGTTTGAAGAGGTACACGGCCATCCTAGATCCTATAGATTATATAATTATATAAAAGTTGGACGGCTCTACCAACCGGCCCGACCCTCAGACCAACCGGTGCTTGGTCAGAACATCCGAGGATTGGAACTCGACTCTTCAGGGTATCAGGAGCTTTGAACTTGGTGAAGTGGAAGACCATTCATCATTCTTCTCGAGAAACAGGTGGGAACTGCCACCCTCCATGATGGTTTCAGGGAGTGTATCACTGTGTTGCCCCACAGAAGCATCTGCTTGGCGCATGAATATGGGTCGCTGGGTCCTGGTCCGTGGGTCGCCGCCCCGCGGCGTCTTGAGACGGCGCCGAGACGAGACGAGACGTCGCAGGTGGATCGCCTGAAGAAGAGAACCAAAGAGGTGGAGGAGACACTTCTGTGACTGAGGTGGCCAGACTTTTGAAGGAACAATTGGCCGGAAACCCTTGTTCTTTGTGGAGTGAACTGAAGGACTTTATGTGTTTTTTTTCCGGTAGATGTTTCCTCAAACCAATCAACGAATTGCCGAACACTCGGCGTTCTTGGAGAGTCCAGGGGGGGCCGACTGCTCCTGCAAGTTTGCGTCTTACGAGCAGAGGTGAGCGAACCTATCATTTTGGGGCAAGACGAGAAAATATGATCTTTTTCTTTGCTCAATCAGGACTGAGAGATGATTGTACTACCACATCATGGCATATCTATATGTAATATGTATGTACAGTATAGTTATATTGGACAAAACTGAAATTAACGCACGCCAAACTCACAGATCTCACAGAGGAAAAGGAGCTTTTGGGATGTGCTCCACTTTATGTTTTGTTGGATGCCCTCCTCCACTCTTTGATCGAGGCGTTGTCCTTCTTATGTTGGTTTGTCTGTGTGATTGGAAGATTATGTTTCTCTAGTGGGGGTGTTTTATCAGTTTCATTTTTTTGACGGGCAATTTGATGGGTATTTTGGGGAATGTGGAGAGCATCCACTTGCGCAGGACAAAGTGCTTTGCCCACTTTGCATGGACGAAGCGAAGCCAGAGAATTGCAGCGTCACTGTGTGTGGCCATGCGTACTGCATCCTGGAAGCAAGGCTTGTGATGGTTTTTCAGTAGGCTGTGGAGTATGTGTTGCAATCCAAGTGGAGAACATGTAAGAACATGTAGGACAAGAGGAATAAGAAGAACACCTCGCCAGATTTTAAGCTTTGGGCTTCACCTTGAGCAATCCGGGGTGGATGGTTCGCTTGAGGGAAAGGGTTAATATTTGCATAATTTTTGTAAATGGTTTAAACAGATATTTGGGGTCTATGCAGGTGCACTGTAATTTGCAAAATTATATAATCACATAGATAACTATATACTTTGGTGCAGTTATCACATTTGAATATTTGGTCTCAAAAAAATATTTCAAACTAGGAGACGAGCCTCAAACAGCAGAGGTGGGGGTTACGAAGGTCCCTGAAAACCAGTGGTGGTGGAGGGGGGTCGGGCAGCGCTGGCTGCGGGCGCTGCGGCCGCCATCTGCACCTCTCCACCTGCAGTGGCAGGTGGGAATTGGCATGATTGAGAGTGGCAGTCTTAGGGTCAAAAGACATCTTCAGTCGCATGTGGTTTCCTAATTTAATCTGAATGATGGAATCCTTCGTCACCGGGAAACAAAAGAACATCAAGCGTAGAGCTTTGGGGCTCAAGGTGGCCAAAGTGGCCGATTGAGGCAATGTTCAAGTGGCTTCTCCCCTAATTGTTCAAAGATGTTCAAATGTATGGACTTGTATTTTAGGCATGGCAGCTTCCTCATCATCTGTGACCCCACTCAATGATATTCAATTGGCTTCTCCACTATAATTTCGAAGGTAAGAACTTTACCTAATTTTTGTGACTTTAGGCATGGCAGCTTCCTCAGAACAGGGTGCCATGGAAAAGCGTTTGGTCGTGAAGGCCAAGAAGCTTGAAGAGTTGCTTGACATTTATTAGGGGCTGATGGCACTGGTTTATGGACTTACAGAACTTACAGTGTATTATTTCTTTAAGTTTTCAAGTGGATGATGGACTTCACCATTCCACTCAGTGGTCGAGGCTTTGCAGAGTGGATCAGAAAGATCCATACCACTGGAAGATGCCGGGCCACATTGCACAGGTCTTTGAGGTTGTGCCACTGGGCTGTTAAATTTAGGTACCCTGAGTCTCGCATCATCCTTTGTCTGAGGAAGTTTATGTCTGAGGAAACCTCTTCTTCCCCTGAGCCAGCCATCAACCCCATCCCATCAGATCTGAGGAAGTTCATTTTGAAGCCACCTACTTCGCACAAGCTGGTGCCAGAGGGTACCGAGAGGGTCAGGGGCCCAAAGAGGAAATTCGATGAGAGTGAAGATCCACGAAGCTTGGCTAAAACTTGTGTTGCAATGTTTGTCAGTTACTGTTACACCACTCTTACTACATGTCTTGCAGCTCTTCATGCAGAGTCTTTCCGAATGCCGGCTGGCTCAGGTGAACGAAAGGTGGATGATGTTTGCTTCGAGGACATCGATGAGAAGAAGCTTCATGAACTGGCTGGACGCCTTGCTGATGGAAGCGTTGAGAAGGCAGTTGCAACTCAGCTTCAGTTTGGTGTGTGAGGATTGATTGGAAGCATTCATGATGATTGACCGTCTGAGAGGGTTAGACTTGTCTTCACTCAGGCATCCATGGAATGGGAGGTGTGCCCTCAAGGTGCCAGTGAGATGGCACGACAGGCCATTGGCCAAGTCAGGAAGCTTCTGGTGTATGATCACCACCTGGGCCCTATCCACCTGCTGATGAAGTTGGAGGCAGCTATCCACGAAGCATGCTTGGCTGTGCGGCTTCTTGATCCTTGGATGATTTGCTTCATGTGTTCTCATCACCAAGTCTTGCCATTATTCATGTTAACTTTTGTTGCCAAGTCTTTGAAGTTGAGCCTTTGACAATGATCAGTCACCCAGGATATGATGGATATGCCTGCTGATGATGAGGGCACATCCAAGGAAACCGTGCGCCTTGGTTTCATGACACTATGGACATCTATGCGCAGGTCTTACACCATGATGGACAGGGTTGCACTCGGTCCTGATCATGTGTGGTTGTAGTCGCTTTGACTTTGTCTTGTCGTGCTGAGGAAGGATGACATTGGAGATCACCAGCCAAGCATAGCGGAGGCAGTTGCTCAGGAGGACAGCAAGTGTGAGGAAGGTTTTAAATGTTTCATGCCATGTCATGATGTTGCAGTGAGACCTGTGGTTTCATGTTCAACTGACCTCCTTGAGACCTGTGACATGATACCATCAGGACAGCAGCCAGAGCCAGCACATTTTCGAGAGCGGTGACACCAGTGACATCTACTTCAAGGACATCTTCAAGAAATGCATCCTGCCTTAATTTAATTCCTTCGAAACCGAGCACTTTTCCTTCATTAGTGCTTTCAATTGATTATCATTGAGTGAGTGGTCACAGTCCAAATCAAGCTGACCTGGTGGCCAAGGAGTGAATGTCAGCTGAGAGCATATGATTCGATCCACCACCCTCAGGACCACCCTCAGCTCATTTCCAACAGATCTTGTAAATCTACTAAGCCATCATGGCAGGTGCTGATTATAAAGGGTGGTGGAGACAGGCTAGTTCTTGAATGAGTGCCTGCACTGCCCCATGGGACTGCTATTGGCCTAGCATTTATCCCAGCTTAAAAAGATCTTGGTTGTAAGCCAAGGGGTAGGGCGGCAGGTGCTGTGATCAACTGTGATCCGGATGCGCAAAAATGACTTGAACTTATGAAACTTTTGCTGACCAATGAGCTGTAAATTTAAGTCTGACACCCTTCCGATGATTCTGCACCCCATTGAAGCCCACTTCCTGGCCAGGCCTGCCCATGAGCACGAGTTGTGCCTGAGGCCACTTGAATTTGGGTGGAGGGTTTTCGACGAATTCGAGCAGGTCTTTGGTCATCTGGCATTTTAAAGGAATAGCTATTATTATTGGTTTGGCATGACCGATTGACTAGTTTCAGATTGCACCTGTCCTGATCACTTATCTCACCGCAGACCATTTTGGTCTTCATATTGACTCCTTTCAAGTTGATAGGGACATGCTTGATTTCTCACATCAAGTCATAAACCATCAAAAACCAATTTGAACCATTGGTTAGTCCTTTAGATAATGTTCATGGCATGGTCATCGCAATAATAAACTGTCCTCTTTGTCAAAATGACCAAGCCTGCCATGCGCGCCAAAACCATCAGCCAGCTCAGAGCAGCTGCCTCGCGTTGGGGAACTTGGAAGATTGATTTCCCTTGGGCTCACATGGGTGAGCATGGCCTGCTGTGTCGGGTGTGCAAGCAGGCTGGCGTTGATTGCTCTTTTGGTAGAGGGCAGGGTGTCTAGGCATTTTGCTTGAAGAACAACTCCTTTGTCTTCGAGTGGAATCATATCTTTGGTCAGTGAACGAAGAACATAATCAAAGCTGAAAGATCCACATATCTAAGGTGGAAGGGGTATCACTCGCCTCTACCGGGGGCAACTGAAGCAGCATGCAGCCAGCAAAATTCATCGACTGGCAGACTCTTGATCCCACATCTATGGCATAAATTGCATTGAAAGGAATCATCATCAGTGCATATGGTTTCATGTACAATGCTGGAAGTTCACTGAGGCAGCTTCAATCAAAGGTGGTCACATGGCGATATTTAGTTTAGCTGGTTCCGCTGCACCTCACTGTTCGTCTTACTATCATTTGCTGTTCAATCACCCACGCTTAATTATTGCTAGGCCCGGAGTTGGACACGGAGTATGCTATTGTGGAAGGAAAGATTGTACCTCATGCTTCAATGTTTCGTGAAATGATCCGGGTCATCAAAAGCAAGCAGAAGTCTGACAAGGCCCCAGAGTCTTCACTGATTGGGTTTGATGTCATGCACGTTGCGCTGGGGTGCCAGGGTTGTATGGTGAGGTTTGTTGGCAAAAGTCAAGGATTGTTGTGTGGTGAATGCATTTCAAGCACTGGCCCTCTTTGTTCCTCACCATGCCTGCTAGGTGGCCGGAAGAGGAAGAAGAAGGCAACTGCAGTACTGCCTGGCTGAGGGCTGCCGTTTGCTCACTGTCAAACGGCTGAGACAAGCGACTGTCATCTCACTTAGCCAGGCAGGCAGTGTTTGCTGGGAACTATGGGATTAACATGGATGTAACAGACTTGGATTCATGGATGATTGAAACATATGATATTCCCACTGTGACTGTTGAACACACAAAAATTAGCACCATGTTACTTTAACTGGGTTCTGTGTGTGGCAGGATGCAAGGAAGTCCATTTTGGCTTGCAGATTCTCGTGCATCAGCCCTTCCTTAGAAGAAGTGTCTGGCTATCTCGGTGGCATTGATTGTCCGAACAACAAGACCTGACAGCAGTTGGTGTTTGCAAAGCAACTGTGGGTATCATGCGCAACTTGTGCACACCTGCCAATAATGCTCCATATGCAGACTCTTGGCAGTTGGAACCCCTCAGTCCGACAACACTGGGCCCTCTGTAATTCAAGTGTGGCCCAGAACTTAAAAAGGTGTTCCCGTGACCATTAAAACTAGTTGAACTGAATTGAATTGAACTGCCCTGTTAAGGACCAAAAGCCCCTGGCATTTCCCACACTTCTACCCCAACTTTGTGACCGGGTGGAACAGTATTGCACGGACGCGGCTACTGATGAGACAGTGTCTGGTGAATTGCTACAGAAGGTCTTCAACAACCTCCGTGTCCGAAGCAAAGATACAACTCATGCATCCAGAAGGAGTCTAGTCCAAACAAAGTCTTAGAACATGAGCAACAGAACATGTCTAAGATCGTCCATGATTCACAAAACCAGCTTCCCATTCTGCCTTGGCCTCGCCCAGGATTGCCTCCCGGTGCACTGCTGCCGATGAATACTTGGCAGCAGTACTTGCGGACTTTGTGAGTGGGAAGAAAAGCCCAGCCCAGCTTCTTCAGTATCGCCAGTACTTTGCAGTGAGATTCTCTCGATTTGTCCAAGCAGAATCTGGATGGCGCTGCTTCTCAGTTGGATGGCCTTCAGTTACTTT